CTGCGTAAGAGTTTTCATTTTTGTCTATACATAATAAAATATTTAAATCAATCTGCTTGTGCTTTATGTCTAAGGCAGTCTTAAGATGATAGTGGGGTCTAGACATCACTAATCATATGATGTACTCCTAGACGTGAGATATATTCCGAGTTTTATAATTATTAATTACTGTAGTCATTCAGTGTTTCATATGTATTTATATATAAGGGAGATTAAAACATATGCGCTTAAAAGCGCCCCTGCAGCCTTTATGGAAATTAACACATCGTCGATGCGAATATATATAAGCACGAACATTTTGATATGAGATTATTGTCGCATTCGCCTATTTCCTAACATGGAATCGAAAATGCTCGAATGTTAACAATGACGATGTTATTACGAAATGCATCCAAATAGGATCATTATGCTGTTATTCATTTTTTTGGCTGCCGAAGGGCAAATATCCAACGGAATATGAAGATTAACGGTAGACATCCAACGGATTGTGAAGATTGTATATATGTCGGAAACCATTCGTTGTGGGAATGGTGCTTTATGTTTCAGTGCTTTTCGCTACTCGATTCAAGATGCAAGTCGATCTGGGAGGCCCTCGACATCAATAACAGACAAGAAGCGGGCAGTTGATGATGCGATTAGGACGGAATGTCTCATATCCATACGCGCGTTCTCAAAGAATCTCGACATAAAAACTTCGGTAGCATGTGAGCATTATCCGGCAGGAGTCAGGCTACTATAATATCTGCAGCCGGTGGATTCTAAACAAAAATCGAATCGGTTGGCTGTTTGCCTGAAGTACCTGATGCCTTTCACTATTGAAGGCAACAGGTTCCTTAAGCGGATTGTTGCAGGCGACAAAAGCTGGCGCCACCACTGCGAACCTTATTTGAAAACGTCGACTGTGCATTGGTGTCATCTTTCGTCCTCTCGTTGCAAAAAGTTAAAGAGCCAATGTTCTGCGGGAAAAGTGATGCTTACCCTGTTCTTTGATTTTCAGGGCCTATTGATTTCAATCAGCAATTCAACCCCGTGTGACAGTATCACAGTCAGTTTACGTCGGTACGGTACAATCATTAATTTTGGTAAACCTGTGTAAGTTTGATTACTTGAAACCTATATTAATTAGTATGCGTATAATTGAGGATTAAGCCTTATTTTATGCTTTTCCGTTAATTGAAAATTATGAAGATCGTCGGAACGATAACAGATGAGTATCGAAATTTAGTTGGAATTGCCCTTAATATATTGGTTCGAAGATGTTAAAAGAAAGCAGTGTTGCAAATGAAAAAAATTATGGTGTCTCTTCTGTTGTGAAGAGGGTTTTCCTTTCTCTGACCTTCAAAGAGAATGAGTTTTTCTCCTTTGCGTGCAACTTCCCCCTCCTTTATTACGTGCCTTAAAACCAAATCAGTACAAGGATATTGTTTTCGCATCATCAGTGCAAAAGTTAATTATGGGGAAAACTGTAGAATGCCTTAGAATTCTTGTCAGAAAATGTCGCATTAAGAGTTTTCATTGCATGCGAGATTCTGTAGTATATTGCTATGGAAGAGGAACCTTTTTCAGAATTTGCAAAATTGAAGTAATGTATAAAATTGAATGTTACCGTATCTACATTATAAAATAATCATGTATGTCTCGAAATCGTTTACGATTGGAGGGGAAAAGGGAAAACTAGCGATTACACATGGTTTCACATTTACCGATCGCACATTCTCATGCGTAATTTACAAAACTGCAGGAAATATAAGTGAAATGCAAATATTCGCAACCCGAAGTGCCTGTAATGAAACGGTAAATATGGAGATGAAATTTTTAGATATAGTAATAAATTACTATCCTCGTATTCGTCAATAATTCGTTTCAGGACATACTGCGGATTACAGCTAACATTACGTAGAATATGATATCCAAGTAATATATATATATGTATTCAGTGAGGTTAATTGCTAAATTTGGTGCAGTAAGACATTATCAGTATTAATAAATAATAATAAAATAAACTGTACAATATAATTTAAAAATTTATTCTCCAAATTCTAAATTTATTCAAAATTTTGCTTTCTCAATAGAATGGATAAGAACATCATGACTTTTCTTACGTTTAGAATCACTGGTAGCATTACTACTGTTACGCTTGGAATACCTTTTAACGTAAATAAAAGATTTCTGAATACGATACTGCGATGGAATATGACTAATGAGACCAGGGAGAGTGTTCAGAGCAGCCCTGAGAGAAATTTAGCGGGAAAATATGTGTACTTACGGGAGAAAAAGGAGTCGGATGTTTTGATCAATTAAAGCCATGGTTAGTGACTAGCATTCTCCTATCTGTCACAGAGAAAACTATGAATTCAGAAAAGCGCAGTTTTCAGAAGCAACCTGTTACCTAGGGATGGGCAAACTTTTTCGGTCGCGCGCCAAAAATCGAAAGAAAACAGTTTGGTGGACCAAGATAAGTTTTTCTAAAATTTTAAAAACAATATACAAGTATTACAAATTAAATATGTTAATGAGATGAATGAAATTGTGATTTCATTTTTAAAAGTTCCATATTGAGGTTCGAAGTGAGAGTACTGATTCTAAGGAAGGCAAATGCTATCTCTCGACTATTCTGAAATAATCTTTCTAAGGTATATTGAAAACACTTGTTCACATATATAAGATGAAGCAAACATAGTACTGATTTTCTGGGCTTGAAATATTAAATATGGGAAACTTATTTTCGATAATGATTTGTAAAACTCTAACTTAGGCATATTTAGAAACAACTGCTTGAGATGATTGTTAGATTGCAACTCAATTAACTCAAGTTGCAAATATGACCTCACTGCTTCACAATTTACGGTGAAATATATTGTAAAAATATCCAGTTCTATTTGAATGGCACTAAAATCTGCGCTCGAACTCAAAATGTAGTTTTTTCAAGCCATCTTCATAATTCTTAAGCTTCTGTTCTCTTCATTTATTGAGGGTTATAGAATTTAACCTCGGGAAATTAGATAAGTCGTTCTTAGCTAGCTGCCAGGAAACAGATTAAGTTTGATTAAGTTAAGTTTTCTCTAGGAGGTCTAATTCACCTATATTGGATTCCCATATGTCTGCTCGAGAAAGAGATAACGCTTGTTGACGCCAATCTACAATTATAACTAACAAAGAACTTCCGTTTTTAACACTTGCTGTCTGAAAAGCTGTCCGTGCTTGCTATTTCCGTCGATTTATGTTTTGTAGAACAAAATTAGAGAAAGTAAAAAGATCATCAGTCCTTTGAGAAAAGGGGGGAAAATAATATTTAAACAAACTAGAAAAGGATATGGATATATAATATATAAATATATACTTCTTTTAATTTGCCTCGGAGCGGCAAATTAAAATTCTATCCGTGGGCCGGATAGAAACTTCCGGCGGGCCAGAGTTTGCCCATGCCTGCTGTAACCAATGACTGTGCATCAGGTTCTGAAGATGGCCAGTCATCGCCTTCCCTGTTAGTTACATGCTTCATGAAAGTGTATGCACTTGCGTACAATTTTGATGACTGGGAATATACAAGTATACTTGTAGTATAGTGCTTAGCTTCTTTCGAACGCAACTACATGCAATTTATATCCCGTCAGTTTTATAAAGTGCAGCTTATGATAAAAACCATTTTTCATAATCTAGCATTTTGTTTTTACGAAATCACAGTGGTAACAAAATAAAAAAAAATAGTATTTGTCTTCGTAATCTAAGTATAAGGAATGCATCTAAAATAATTGTGATAATAATAAAATAAAATAAGAGGTATATTTTAATTGCTCCAATAAGTCGAGGTTTGATTTTATGATCAAATTATCGGTTTTAGAGATCGATTTATACGCAAGTGTATAATACAGTATGAACTTTATCGGCGGTGTTCTGCAAGAAAGGTTATTGAATTAACTAAATGCTACCCTTTGAGATAAAACCCAAGTAAATGTTTTAATTTTTAATGTGAAGGGACATAAATTCTCTTAGTTAATTTTTTAATGTTAATCTGTAGCAAATAAGACGATTATGGTTTTAAAAGGGTGTATTAAGGGATAAAATCGCAGTTTTATATTCAGGATAATAATTTTCAGTTCAGCGGTATTGAAAGAATAGGAGCATAAAATTAATTTATAATATATTATTTTCTGATAGCTAAGAATTAAATTAGAAGTCCACAATTGTTTGAATGTATTTTACGTTTTATTTTGTTTTGTTTAGGTAAGGATGTTAAGCACAAATGTGTATAGTGCAGTCGTACCGCGATTCAGTGCGGTAGACGGGGGGAGGATGGTGTTATGCGTGTATTACGATTCGAAATGCAATTATTATATCGTGTATTACGATTCGAAATGCAAGCCAAATGATAACACAATATACCATCTTTAAAACATGTCAGTACCGTGATCCCAAGCACCTGCATTTTCGTTTCGTGCTAGTGTAATTAAAACGAGTAATGAAAATATTCATTATAGAACCTTAAATGTTAATTTCACGTTGCAATGAATCCCTTAAATATGATCTTCTATCCCTCAGACAGATGGCGATAATGATAGGTACAGTATGTGTAGTAAATATGCTAGTGAGGAATCTTGGCTATCAATGATCACAGAATATTTTCGACAAACGTATACTTTTTCTTTTTAAACATTCTTTCACTTTTGCTTCTGAAATTCTATTCTCATTAATAACGTGTTATTTCAACTATCTTTTGCCGCAATAAGATCTCCAAAATGTAAGATTAGTAATAGTAGTACAAATATTAGGAAATTAACTAATTTGCTGTGCTACAAAAATTAATGGCTCTTACTGAAGAATTAATACCATTAAAAAGAATAATCAAAGGTCCTTTTTTTCCATCATAGCCATCCCCCCCCCGAAACAGCTTATGTGATGGTTTCAAAATAGATTTTTCTTTTGTAGATACAGTAACTCATTGGAAAAAAATTACTTTTACAAAGATTTAAGCCAGATGTTTATTCATAGCAATGCATAATCTAGATATTTACTTTGATAGGGGTCTCTATCGACTTACGAAAATGAGGTTGTTCATTAGGAAGTGCAGGAAACGTAATGCCACAGTGGGTCATGTTTTCCAAAATCTAGTCAAAAGACATCCAGAAAAGACGTGCTTATGGATGGAAGATGAAAAATGGACGTTTCAACAGGTAAGATATTGACATATTTATATTCCAACGGAAATTGTGTATTAATGAAAAAGTATTGTTTTCAAATATATCAGGTCTGCAATTTAGTTTCAGAATTTAGTAAGATGATGTATATTTGTCATTTTAGATTAAAAAAATAATCAAGAATTAACTTCAGTAATTTTAGCTTATTGTATCTCTGTGGCCAAAAAACAGGTGATAATCAGATGAAGCCATGCCCATGGATTAAGGAGGATGAGGAAAAATCTCAAAATCAAGCGTGTTGGTCAGCTCCTTGGCTGCTTTCACCGTATGAGGTCTGGTATTGTTTGGAAGAATGGTCGTTTCTTTCCTGTTGACTAGTGCTAGCTGCTTCTGATGCAGTGCAGTTGCAGCACTTTGCAATTTAGACGAGTACACATCAGCTGTGATGCAATTCAGAGTGCACACTATCAGCCCTAGTCAACCGAACACAGAGGCTTTCTTCAGTGGCGTAGCTAGGGTGGGGCAAGGGGGGACATCTGTCCCCGGGCGCAGCATTCAGGGGGCGCCAAATTGATGTTACGAAATTTTAGAATGAAATGTTTTCCATTCTTGGCACAGAGAAAGGGGCGCAAAATCCCTGGGCGCTGAAAACCCTAGCTACGCCTTTGGCTTTCTTGTGGCGTGACAGCAGTGAAGAGCAAATGGTAGCTGCTGGTGTTTGGTTTCTGCAGTCAAAACGAATTCATTTGCTGAACTTCCATGTCTTCCCAAGCCTACGCAGGTGCAATTGAATAGTTTATTCAGACACTTGAAACCCTTTTACTTTTGATGTAGATTTTACTCGATGTTCCCCTCAGAGCCAGATTTAGACTTAATAAAGCCCTAAGCTATTTGAGATATGGGGCCCTTTATAAGTCTGTTATAATATATTTTAATACTATTTGTACTACATTTTAATTTTGAGGGGTCCTTCCAAGGAAGTGGGGGCCCTAAGCTATAGCTTGTGTAGCTTATACGTAAATCCGGTCCTGGTTCTCCTTCAGTAGGGCTTCATCTATTGTGAATGGACACCCAGTGTGAGGTTTGTCCTGGAGATTCTCATTTTCCGATGCAGTATCATTTGGGAAAGCCTGAAATGGGACATAAATGCTTATGATTTTTCAAGTTTTCAAATAAATAATGCCAAATTTATCAGAAAGTCTACATCTTTCAATTAAAAATTTCAAATCAGTAGAGATTAGATAATAAATATCCCTCCACTCAGGATTATATAGAAGAATTTAGTAGCTAATTTTTATTGGCAGATGTGCTTTTTTTTTTTCTAGAGTGGAGCTGTCTCTTCCCCTCAAATTAATTTCAAATTCAAAGCTGGAAGACTTTCCATACATATACTGCTACAATAATGACTTCAAATATATTGATTTTTTAAGATCACAAAATGAGAATGTTTGAAAACAAAAATAATTCATATTTGCGTAATAATAAATAAAGAAAAATAATTTCTATTTGTGACAAAAGTCTTCTTATTTGTATTATCCATAGTAATAAGAAAATCAGAAAACTTTTCACGAGCATTTGATGCTTAATATTTGGAACAAGGAGGGGAGTGCATTTTTAGGAGTTGTAAGTGAACCTCTACCCTGCTGACTATGCCCATGTGCATAGGTGATTGATTGGTAATTCAGTTTAATAAGAAATAAATCAACTGATTAATAAAGTATGATAATGAATATTTTCGACAAACGTATACTTTTTCTTTTTAAACATTCTTTCACTTTTGCTTCTGAAATTCTATTCTCATTAATAACGTGTTATTTCAACTATCTTTTGCCGCAATAAGATCTCCAAAATGTAAGATTAGTAATAGTAGTACAAATATTAGGAAATTAACTAATTTGCTGTGCTACAAAAATTAATGGCTCTTACTGAAGAATTAATACCATTAAAAAGATAATGTATTTGAACTCTTCATCTGATTAACTGTGTTATATTTCATATTTGTAATAATGAAATGCATGAATGTACCAGGGCTGTTCAATAAGACTAAAATTATAAAAAATGCAGAATACCTTTAATCGTCATCATTTACATGGTCTTTTTCAAAATAATTACCGCGGCACGCAATGCATTTATCCCAACGTTCTGTCCACTTCTGAAAAACATATAAAAGTCCGTTTTTTGAAAGCTTTTTCAAAACTGCCTCCGCAGCCTTTACACATTCTATGCTGCTTTCAAAATGTTTGCCTCGTAATATTTTTTTAAGTTCAGGAAACAGCCAGAAATTGCACGGAGCGAGATCAAGATTGTATGGAGGTATTCTGTGCGGTAAAATTTCTACGTTGTTCAGCTGCAAAATATCCTGTACGCAACAAACAATATGTGGTCGGGCAATTGTCATGATGCAATAGGAAGCCATTTCGGAGCAATGGACATTATCCACTCTGTGACAGGTGAACATGCTGTATCTTTGTTCATAGGACATTCGCGTAGTACAAGCTGTTTATGGGTTTCGACAACATGTTGATACACAATTCCTTCATAATAATAAAAAAATATATATGGTCATAACTTTACCAGCCGATTTCACAGTTTTTGCTTTCTTGGGAGTAGGCGAAGACAGATACATGCTTCCATTTACTACTTTATTGTTTCGTGGTTAGGTCATATGTTAGGTCATATGTTTCGTGGTTAGGTCATTCGTGGTTAGGTTTCGTGGTTAGGTGGTTAGGTCATAGTGATACAACCAAGCTTCGTCTGCTGTGATGATGCATTTTAAGAAATTGTCGCCTTATTGTTTTATTCTGTGCACATATCCACTCTGTGCTGCATTTGCTCAGATGTCAACAATTTCGGAATCCATCGGGCACAAACACGTTAGTTGCAAATGTTCTGCTATGACTGAGTGAACACTTCCTACAGAAATATTCAAGAGAGCATGCAGCTGACATACTGTAATTCTGCGGTCCTTCTTGATGATAACCACAGCTGTGCTAATCATTGTCTCTGTGACGGACATTGAAGGTCGTACCTCACATTCAATATCTTCCTCATTTTGCCTGCCTTCCTTAAAAGCTTTATGCAAGCTAAAAACACTTGCCCTCGCTAATGCTTCATCGTTGAAAGCTTCATGTATCATGTCAAAGGCCTCCGATGCTGATTTTTGCAGACGAACACAAAATTTAATTGCATACTAGCGGGCTGAAGCCCGCTTTTAATTGTTCGAGTATATAAGAGTTCCCATCGTAATTTCGCCGTTATTCGAAAGTTGGACCGAACTACCAGTGTTCAGCGATTTTGCGCGGGCTGCGGCCGCTTTGTTCCCATATGCATGGAGAAGATACTGCATAAACGATACACATGCGTAAAAGCAAGAAAACACCCATGGAGCAAACCCGTTCAACCGGGATCGAAAGTTGGACCGAACTACCAGTGTTTACGGTTTTGCGCGGGTTCCGCCCGTTTTATTCACATATGCATACAGAAGACACTTTATACACGATAGACATGCGGAAAATCACGAAAACAGCCATGCTCGCCGGGATTCAAAGGTTGAACCGAACTACCAGTGTTCAGCGGTTTTGCGCGGGCTGCACTCGCTTTATTCATGTATGCATGCAGACGATACGATTACATTCTTGAAGTTGTACAACTTTAATCAGCTGAAATATTAATTAAATAAACCTGAAAGCGCCATTTTTTAAATATGTTATTATTTTTTCGAATAATAAATTGTTTCGAATAATATATTTTTCATGGTTTTAGATTACGTCCACTTAATTTACATATCCTTTTTAAATTTAAATAATATTGTAAATTACTTGGCAGCAATAATAATTATTTTTATTTTTTTTACAATTAAAATTTCTTAATTAAAATTTAATTGAATATTACCTTTATACGAATAGAGAATATTTTTTAAACACAAATTTCACTCCTTGCAGCAATGGCGCAAGAGAATTATTTAAATTTAATTTAACTATATTCTTGTGAAACAATTTTGTTGTAAATTTGTGCATATTCTGTTGTAGTTTAAAAAACCTAGCTTGAGTATTTTCAGAAACAGTAAAAGTAATCAGTGAAGTAAATGTTTATAAAAGACTTGCATATAATAGCATAACACAGTTCTGTTAGACATAATATCAGTTCAACCTGTCAATTCATGGTGCATGCTGCAGGAAATGTTTGGAAAGGCACATAAAACTTGTCTGAGCATCCCAGTTGTATCAGGGTTCGTAGCAGTCCTTATAAGTGCGTATAAGTCCTTATATTTGAAAATAAAATATAAAGGCCTTTATAGGTGCTTACTTTTTCTTTAAAGCCCTTATTTTTGTGTTTTTAGTGCATTTTTTTTTTTTTTTTTTTTTTTTTTTTAAATGAATACGCATTTTTTTCCGGTACCAAAGCCGAAACTAAATAAACAACTTTTCTTCCTAATATGGAATGTCAGATGGTGAATCATACTCCCGGAAATAGCTTTTCCCCTTTCTCTGCATTAACATAACCTTTGGTGTGCACGAAGAGTACAGACAGGTGACCGTCGTTTCTATTGGTCAAAGAAATGCGAAAGCAGTAGAAAATTCCGGTACATTCGGCATTCTTTTCCTCCCACCCAAATACTAAACACGTTTGAATTTCTATCAAGATCTTAATAATTTGCATTCTCGTTCCGCTTAGTCAGTTCATATTCGTGTTTATTATGATTGTTATGCTTACATTATGAGCATATGTATGAATGTTTATAATAACAAGTTGCAGTAACTGCTGAAGTATAGTAAACTTTCAAAAATGGTTGTGTTTAACACAGATTAGCTTTCTAAGGAATAATATTCGGAATGGCTTAAATAAAGGGAAAGTAATCGAATAGTCAAAATAATTTTGTTTTTTTGGCCAATACATTATATAGTACGAAGATTGGGAGTTTCTCCCCTTTCTCCGCAAAATCTCGAATATTGAAACTGTTACAGTTCGTTGCAAAACAAGCAACTGATTTTTTTTTTTTTTTTTTTTTTTTTGTCACTTTCCAATCTGGATTGAATAGGACTAAAAGTTCTGCGGTCTACCAACCCAAGCGAAGAATGATTCTATTCCGGAAATTTAACGCCGTCTGTTGAAAATTAGAATGAAAAACACCCCAGTTATTTAGTTCTTTATTCTCCCAATACCGGCAGCTGTTGATTCCGATTGCGTAATATCACGTAGGGAAGAATTACGGCGCACGTATTGCGCAATAACGCTTGCGATATTTTGCAGAGATAATTAATTTTGATGTTCTGTCCGAGATTTGTTTATGAACACTTAAAAGAGTTTTACTGTGCTTGCTAAGCAGAATATTTTTCAGTTCCATTGGTTTATTTTTATATGATGCGCATATCGAAATGTCAAAAGCATTTATTTAGCGGAAAAATTTAAAGAGCGGCTACAGTCTACCTCCCCCCTCCGCTCCTCTTTTTCAAGTTACGCTCGACTGTCCGAATATTCGCCAATTTCCAAGTATGCGGGTTAGTTAAGCTTTTACTGTTAAAGGATGACTGCATGAAGCAAATTTCTGTCTTCTGATTTCAGAAATGTTCCTCTTTTTTACTTAAATTACTTTGCTTGCAATATCTGTTAAGGGAAAACTGATATACAATGAAAATTTAGAAAATGTTCAGAATTTAGATTTAAATTATTTAAATATCAATATGAGTGGAAAAATAAATTGTATTTATTATTAGGTTCCAAGTGAATACAATAAATATGCCTTATTATTATTTATTTTCTCTATTTTGAACTGAAATTTCATCATTAAATCTTGTAATATAGTTTAGTTCTGCATAGTTTTTTTTTTCCTCTCATTGTAAACTAGTTCTGTAAATTGAACTGTTATTTAAAATTTAAAAAAAAAAAAAAAAAAAAAAAAGTAATTATTTTCCATGGTTGAGGTAATGCTTATTCTCTCTTAATAAATACTGCATTTCTCATATTTTAAATTACAAGTCTAATTTTTAAGGTTATGCAGTTGTGTATAATGTAATTAGACAGGTGCTTATTTTTTTTCTTAAATGTGCTTATAGGTGCTTATTTTTTTAACTAAAATGTGGCTATGAACCCTGTGTATATTTCGATGGCAAATGTTGCAATAATCAAGGTTATTGTGTTTTATTACATAAAAATATTAAATTCCGCTAGTAATTAATTACTGTTCTTAATTTATTTGCCTGTGGAGCTCATTTTTTATTTCTTTTGAACCTTTTTATAATTTTGTACTGTAATCAGTTTAGAGTGTGGGTTTTAATGTCTTTATAGGTTGAAGACTACAGTAATCAAATTGCTAATTGTTTTGCTAAACTCGGTTTCCATCGCGGCGATGATGTAGCTGTCTTCATGGAATCAAAGCCTGAATTTGTTGGCATATGGTTAGGTCTGTCCAAAATAGGTGTGGTTCCAGCACTCATCAATTCCAACTTGCGTCTTGATCCTCTTGCCCATTCCATTACTGTTGTGAATTGTAAAGCAGTTATTTTTGGCAGTGAACTAACTGATGGTAAGTGTTCTGAATTATTTGAAACTTTTAATATATGTATTTTAATATAAGATTTCGTATTTCTTTTGAGTTATATTTTTTGCAAAATATTTAATCATTTTTATATTTTAAAATGCAGTTATTTTATACTTTTAATTTGTTATATATATATATGTAAGTATGAGACTCAGCTTTTGTTATAAAATCCATAAACAAGCTGTTTATAGTAGACATGAGTTGCTTCAGGAAGTATGAGAATAAACAAACAAAAGTATGAGGGAAAAAAAAAAAAAAAAAAACCTGAAGGGAGTTTGAAGCAGAAGTGAAGTTTTATTGAATATGTACAAATTTAGAGATTTATAAAGGTGTATATTAGTGGTGCTATCTATTGGCTAAAAACATATTTAAAGCTAACATCATTTTTTTTTTTTTAATATTCCTACTTCAGATTTAAATATCAAGTATGATCCATATTAAATGAAAAAAAAAAAAAAATGTTAAGACACGCCCATAAAAAATTAAATTATTAGCATTCATTTTAAGCCCATTGTTTTTGCACACATTTCATGTTTTGCACTATTCACAGTTTTTGTCAAAAAATCTGCAATCATATCATTAGTGGGTGTGTTTTGTTTGTCAACATAAGTTTCACAGCTTGTTCGTACAAAATGGATTGTATATTAATGTATTTCGATCTACCACGATACATACTGTTTTTGCTGAGATTAACAGCACTGTTGTTATCACAGTATAATAAAATTGATTTTTGCAGTAGTATGTCTAAGTTCTGTAACAATTTTGTTGAACCATATGGCTTCTTTAGTACCTGCAGAGAGAGCCATATATTCAGCTTCTATTGTGCTAGTTGCAGTGGTTAGCTAAAGTTTACTACACCATTATACTCCATCACTTCCAATGAGGAAAACATTCCAGTGGTTGATCTCTGATCCTCAATATCACGTTCATAGTTTTCATTCACTGTAACCAAGGACATCAGCATTAGAATCCTTTGAAAAGGACAATGTAGTATATGTAGAAATTTGAAGATAATGCATGATGTGCTTGGCAGAATTCCAGTGAATTCTTGCAGGATTAGAGAATTGACTAAGCAAATTCACAGCATAAGTTGCAGCCATGCTGCTTTTAAGCTCCCAATGGCTCCCTAATAAGGAAGCGGTAATTTTTATTCCTTGTTAGTAGGTAACTGAAGTTTAGACAGCACTTCATTTTGGTCTAGTGGGATTTTTACACCACGAGTTTCATGCATATTATATTTACAAAACATACTATCTACCTACTGAATTTGACTTAGGCTAATGGATCCTTTGATCCTATCTTGTTCAGTTTTGATTCTGAAATGATGATTTGTTGGTCCCAGATCTTTCATTTCAAAGTTTTAAGTTGCTATTTTATCTAATTTTAAAGTTTTGTGTTATTGCTAAAAATAATACTATTGCTAATGTTCACCATAAATAGTGATAATGACTAGTTCTTTATTTTCATTTATTTTAATATAGATACAACTATTAAAAGAACTGCCATACTCCCATTTCTATTAAGCCCTTTTCTAACAGATGGTACTATAGTCTGCCACTCTGCTTTAAACCGTCTAATGCTTTGTTTAATTTTAGGACTTTTCCTTTTAAATTTTGCTCATAAAATTCACTAAAACCATCTGGTATTTTCGTAAAAATGTCTTCACTGAGTTTCCTCTAAAAAAGCCATTGCAGCATTCATCTTGTCAATTTCTCAGTCATATATAACTGCATAGGGTAATTAAACTCTTAACGTTAAATAATGGCATCTGATGCAAATATTTCATTATAGTCTACTTAGAATAGCCCTTAGCAACTAGATGTGTCTTGTACACTGCAGGGGGGGATGAGACAGTTCTGTATCTCTCGTTCTACAGTGCCGATTGGCGAAATTCAAATTGCATTTTTTATGTTTCGAAAGCACGACTTGAGTAACTAACATTAGGTGTTTTGACCCAAAATAGGCCTTTTCCTGAAATGATTTGCCAATTTTTTTCCAAATTTCTGTTCTACGACTCAAATTATTCCTGGATACTAAATTTTGTAAAATTTGGTACGAAATTTATGGAGAAATTAAAAAATTTAACCTGGTATATTTTTTCAGTTTGCGCCAAGAATAATTCACTTATCGAACTTCTTGATTTATAGCAACCTGTTTTCCTTCCCATTTTTTCATTGCAGAAGAGCAGGGGGAAAAGTCATTGTTCATACTTTCAAATAATTTTAACAAGGTGCGTAAACCACATTTGGCATTATTATCGCTTATAACAAATATGTCAAATTTTCAAAATGTGCCAATATGTAAATTCATGTATATCTTACAAAATTTTGAATGAAAAAACTCTTAACTTTTTAAGGTGTACCTAAAAATACATCTACTTTAAGATGATGTTTAAAATTTTATAGGTTATAATCCAAAATTTTTTTCGAAAAATTATTTAAAAATGCAAACTTTAAAAATAAATCTTAAAAAAAAAACGGGCAAATTTTATTAGGAATGAACCAAAATTCAAAATGTGAAAGGTAGAATCAAATAAGTGTAATTAAAAAAAAAAGAGATATTTACAAATATATACCAAATTCAACTAACATTGAGAAGATAAAATTTCTAGGGCTCATTTTTTAAAAATTACTTCTGTGATTTTTACAAAACTTGGCAGTTTAGCATAATTTGAATGGTAGAATCAAAATATGGGAAAAAAATTGGCATGTTATTTCAGAAAAAGTCCTATTTTGTGTCAAAATACCTATATTAGAACAGTGCCATATATAACTCTAATACATATCCTAAGTCGCATTTTCAAGATGTGAAAAACACAATTTGAATTTTGTCAATCAGACTAGTAGAATGTAAGATATACAATTGTGCCCCCTTTTTCCTCTCATGAAAACCCATTTACTGTCTACGGTGTTTTTATCATAAGGTTTATCTGTTATTTCCCATGTACTATTTTTAAATAAGACCTGATATAATCTAACATTTAGAAGCCTTCCACTGATTTGCATCATTGCCTTTTAATGCTTTGGTTTTTGGATCAGAATACAAGTCACTTGTTGTTTCTGCAAAAGTTTAGCAAAGCACATGCGATCTAAATTTGGCATTTGCAGTTTTGGCATGCCATGTGTATCAAAGTCCTGATTGGGACTTTGGGAAGTTTGGGAATCTAATTTTTCTGTTTCTTATCAATAGGTGGTTCATCTACTGTAGTATTGTTATTATTGCTATCATTTTGAGCTGTATTTTGCTCATGATCATCGGATTCAGTACTATCATTATCCCTTCCACTTCACTATTCTGATCATCAGCTATTGACTCTTATGTCATATTCGTGTCCCCATTAAATAAGGACTCATCATAAAACTTATTACTTGCCTTCTTGTGGTACATTTTATTTTCTAAAAATTATACATCTCGTGCACTTACTATTTCATAGGTTTTGGGATCTATTTATCTATAGCCTCTATTTGGACAGTACCTAACAAGCATTAATTAGCATTATATAGCATTTTTTTACCTTATTGTTTTGGAATGTGAGCAAATGCAGGGCATCCAAAGGAAAGGTTTAGCAATTTCTCCTGGACAAGGCATAGACTGTCCCTGCTTCTTGTGCCCCAGATATGACATCATTCCATCTTTTTAGGGAAATGTATATGATTACCTTAATATTGATCTGTTTTACATTAGACTTAAAAATTCTGCAGTGTGTACTCTTTGTTACTTTAGAAAACCCACAAACGGGAAAACATTTCAACACATGCTCACCATTTGATGGTTTTATTCTGTAACAACGGAAATATTGACGGGCATGATCATTAATGGCTCAAGATCCAAAAACCAGCATTTGTAAATTAGTACTATCAGCATTAATAATCAGTTACAAAAGAATGTAATTGAAATAGAAAATTGGTTAAAGTACGAAATACTCCATGAGAATAAGTGACTATCAAAGTAGTGCTTCCTAAAGTAAATTAATTTAAAAAAATATTAAGTACAAACATAGAAAATTATATATTACATTTTAAGACTTACTTACTTGTTATGTTTCCAGTATTTAATATTTGAAGTAGTCTTCTATTTTTTAATCCTTAATGAGTGAATCTGTTTTTCCAACTGTGAGATAGCAAGGAATTGAAAAAGTTTTTAATTTTAAGCTATCAGAAAAAACGAACTTTTTTTAGCAAAATGTTTTTTAAAGATTTATTTATAATTAATTTTAATGTTTTAATTTAGCTGTGAAAGGAGTAAGCCCTCTGCTGAAAGATGTCAATATGCAGTACTTCTGCTTAGGAGAATGTAGTGATGGTGATATCCCTGCTCGGTCTCTAAACAGCTTAATTCAAGAGAGCTCCATAAGCCCACCACCAACACAAAATAAAGGGAATATGGATGGTTAGTATTAGTTACATTTTAACTATGCATGTTTATATATTTATTCATGCATGTTTTTAATTATTTATTATTGTTTTAACTAATTCCACAGTTAAAACAGTTTCAAATATGAAATTTCAAATATGTTTTCAAATATGAAATAAGAATTGGCATTCTTCATATTTATTTGAAAGGATTTAACTTATAAAAACTAAACTTTTCAGTTATTTGAAGTTTTATTAAGTAGCTAATTTTAAATTTTCTATGTGAATGTTCACAGTATGTGATAATTTTATAAGTGATATTTTTGAAGAATTTTTTTCATGGTTTGATGTAGTTATTTATATCATTACCTTGTTGTGTGTGTGACTACCTAAATTTGTTATTAGCTTAAAACTTTTTCCAAAACAGTGGAATAAATAAAACAATAATTAAAATTAAATAAATGTAGAAAGATAAAAATATTTATAAGTAGGTATAAATAACTGGGCATCAAAAAAATAATGGATTAAACTAAATGCAGCTTGAAAGTGAAATGACTTAAGAAGGATAAAGGAAAAGTAACTAAATAATGATTACAAATTGTGATATATTAGGTTAAAAAAAATTAAACAGCACTTTTTGCAATCAGATAAAACTGCTTCTTTATTTTGGCCTCTAAATTATTTCAAGCATTCTTGACTAATTGGCTATATTCCATGAATACACCAAAAAGGCAGATTATTATACACACTTGCAATGTGACACAGTGTAACTGGGAACGATGGGAATCAGACTTGTGAGCTGCTGCCTGTTGCCAGTGCTACAGAATATAAATATCAGAATTTTCATGGGCACTCCAAATATAATCTTATCTTGGGTAAAGACAGTAGTCTAAGCAAATTTGATCACAAAGTATTGGTGCTTGCAAGGTTGAATGTTCACATTATCATCAACCAATGAACTGTTGGGCATATGTTCAGTACTGTTGCATGGGTGTATCAATGGTATCTCAAAAGCAGATGTAATATATTTTGTTACATGTAAATATAAAATTCTAAGCAATTGATTTTTCCTAATTATAGGAGATTTCTGTGACAATGTTTATGGCACTCTCTTTTTTCTAATATACATAAGTGCATTCACCAGTGTTCACTGGTATGCTCCAATTTTCATAAGTGCATCACTTTGTTTGTTCTAATATGCACAATTGCATTCAAGTTCTAATATGCATATTCCAACCCGAACATGTATTTACATTCACAGTCTTTATTTTTACTTTGAATAGTGGAATTTTTCAATGATACATTTTTCTACTGATTATTTTAAAAATAAACTGTTCTAACAAATTAAATAGTTGGTTAATTTAAAATCATAAAGACACACAAGAGTGTCTATAAAGTTTCAACAAAATAAGAGTGATGATAGTACCCATCAAGATGAACAATATTTACAGGTAAGTTTAGAGCTGCATTTTATTTTGTTTGTTTGAAAAGTAGAAAGTTAAGTGTTTAAGCTAAGCTTTTAGCAGAGCAACCCCCCTCCCAAAAAATTATCTACTAATTTCTTTTATACGTAATCTGGCATGACTTTCACAAATTCATTTCATATGATATCATCATAATAATCTTAAGCATAGATAATATGACACTTTTAAAGAAAAATATTTGCTTCAGCTTTTTATTGATCATTCAGTCTGCTGCAGTTTTTTTTTTTTTTTTTTTTTGGGGGGGGGGGTGCGTGCACGTGAAAAATTTTCATACTTTGTTCTGGAGATGTGTTAGTTCTATGGCAGAACAGAAATTACATGAGGTGTGATGACTTGTAACTGTTTGACATGTTTCAAAACTGCTCTTTTTTGGCACTCTGAAATGGAATACTGTTTTAAGTTTCATTGCAAAGAATGTTCATCTCTTCTTATTTTATTGAAACAGTACAGATAGATATGAACCAATATGTAGCTAGATATATTGCACAGTAATTAAAAACAGCTTAGCTGCTTAGGCATGTTTCAGTTTTCTCTTATCATGCAGTTTAATCAACAAAAAGACAGCTTTTTTTACGAGCATCATTTACTGTATATTAGTATTATAATTAATTAAAATGATTTGCTGTGAATCCTTTTTAAGTTTGTAAATACAGTCAAAAGTCGTTAATTCGGACACCCATAATCCGAAATGATCTATAATCCGGACCTCAAAGCTTTGACGCATGCGCATAAGACCTTTACGGCTGCGAATATGCGCGTGCGCAAAATAGGTTTACGAATGTGCGTTTAATGTATAATGGACGGTATAAGCTAAGCTAAAATTATCTAATTCAGTTAATGTTGCAGATTGCGTTGTTCCTTAATCTTCGAATTGGATTCGGCTTATTATTTTTTGAAGACTTTTGGATTCGACTTTTGACTGTATATTCATGAAGTCAAAAAGAATTATTGTCAATTATTAATTGGCTTTTCCTTTTTTCTGTAAAGTTATCTCTTACGTATCATCTGTGAATTTGTAAGTTTATTTATTTTATTTTAATTTTATTTTATTTATTTTTTTTTTTTTTTTTACTTACCTCTGTAAGCCTTGTGTAATACTATGTGGTGCACAAAGATTTAAAATTTTCAATAAAAAAAAATAAATATTACCATTTATATTCATTTATTATTATTACTTATAATCTTAACCTTGTGAACACACACACAAAAAGAGAGAAATAAGTAAGCATGTCATGTTGTAACTATCTTAATTTTTGTCATAGATCGCTTGTTCTATGTATATACTTCAGGAACAACTGGTATGCCAAAAGCTGCTATCATTAGGCATAGCAGGTAAGTCATTTATATAATATCTTAAAGTTAATAATTCTCTATTAATACATATGTAAATTTGTTTGCTTTCTTACTTCAGGTTTATGTGGTTAGGAGCTGGTATCCACTACATGATTTTACTTAAAAGCAAAGATGTCATTTATACAGCACTTCCTCTTTATCATACAGCTGGTGGAATTTTATCCTTATCTCAGACTATGCTATTTGGAAATACCCTTACTATTCGAAAAAAATTTTCTGCTTCAAAGTTTTGGGATGATTGTATTAAATATCAAGCTACTGTAAGTATGCCTATTTTATTCTTTCATATTGTAAAATATTAGGAATATACAATTTAAATGAATATTGCTCCCATAGTTTCTGTCCCATTAGTAGCACTCCTTAACAAAAAAATTAAAATGCCATGCAAAATGGTTTATGTGGTAACCATTGATTTTTTTTTCCTAAAAGGAAAATCTTCCAACTTTGACTGTTAAATTGTTTTTTAGAAGAAAAGGAAGAAAATAAAGCCATGAGTAACTTTATGCATTCAAATAGAATATCAGTTAAATTAAGCTGTGAAATTCTTATGATACACCAGGAAGAATAATAGGTTTTGATAACCTTGGGCAAGATTGAGTAGAATTAGCTCATTTTAAGCACTGTTTTTGTTTCCATGTCTTGAGTGCTTCAATAAAAAATGCTTCTTTAGTGTTTTAGAAAACCTTTAATCTATGCTGTGAAGTTTATCAGTTTTTTGATATTTTACGAATGTTAAAGCTTGCTTGTTGGGTTACATAAAAGCTTTTATTACTTTTTTTTTTTTTTGTAACATACACTTGATGTACTCGAAATCTTCGTGTTCAAAATATATACATTTTTTCCCTTCAAAATTTATTTATTAAATCGTTGAAATACTTGTGCTTTTAAAATCATTGTGCATGCATTAAGGATTTATTTATCTGACTGAACTATCTGCATTATCAGAAGCACAAGTGTCATGTATGTGTCTGGATATTCTTTTTCATCTGCATGTTTCATGTGTTCTTCCATGTATATATATTTTTTCTTATATATTTGCATCATGCCTATCAAATATTCATGTTTCACAAAGTTTGCTCCAAATAGTTTATAATCTGGTGTTTACCTGAGGAAGCTTTCGGTCATTGTGGCACTATTTTGTTGCAGTTGGCAATCTCATAATTAAGGTGCATGTGTGTATGTCTGTCTTTTGAGCATTCAAAAAGAGATATGTCACAGGAGAAATTTGCATTGTGACTGGTGAGGTGCATTCATTTATTTAACCCTCAGTTGGAGGGGCTGGCGTATAGTACAATTTTAGAGGGGCGGCGTATGAAGTACGCCAGGTCATTTTTCGAACCACTGCTTCGTGTCTGAAACTATTTAATCTTATACATGACATTAATAAGGTGATTCATCATAGTAAAAATGATATAAGAAAATGAATAACAGAAAGAAAGCAGTAAAAATGGAAACTGCGAATTTTTAATTAATTCAAAAAGTGAATGCACTGGAAATATAATTTAAAGTTAAATAGTATTCTGCATTATTTTCTGTATGAAAATTATAAGAACATAAATCAAATTTACAAATTATAAATATTCCGTAAAGAAAAGTTCGGTAAGTAATAAATTTCACAAATGAAAATAATTGAAAACCTTTTGCTATTTTAATTGTCCGATTGTCCCTGTTCACTGCAGCAGGGTTTGCAAAGTTGTACTGTCTTGCCCACATGATTTTTGCAGGTAAACGTAGAACACTCAGAATATTTTATGGTAGTGTAGTTATTCTTTGTTCTAAACCGCACTTCAGCGCAAGCGTCCTTTGATCTTTTTTGCACGTGGTTCCTAGTCCCTTTCGGCCGTCTTGTCCGCTTCTGTTGTTACCAGCCTTCTAATAATAGCTACGGAATGCGACAGGAGAAATGGCATTTTCAGACGATTCTGAAGATGTGTTTTCATCAAAGATGTAGCTAGAGTTTTCAAAAAATATCTTCTAAACTTGATGGTTGCATCAGGTTTAGACAAGTTCAAGAGCACTTGCAAATTTATGCCCGCTACGTTTAGCAGTGCAAAAAATATTGCCATTGCCCACATCTTGGTTTTTCGGGCGACAGTGAAATTACTACAAAGTTGGTCTACGGTGTCAACTCCGCCTTTACATTTGTTATAATCCAGGATTATCTGTTTCCTGGTCAATTTTGTCATCATCGTGTAAAATACTGAGCAGTATTACACACTTATTTATTTATTTTTTTCGTTGCATATGAAACAATTGTCATATCCTTTTGAAAAACCAAACAGTGAACTGCCTGCCGACTTCTCTTGTTTCGGATGGCTGGAATTAATTCGGAATTTCCTTTCCCCCCCCCTTTTTTTTTCATTTTCTTTTCTTTTTTTTTTTTTTTTTTTCCCAGCGTGAGCACAAGTGTTATACCTTTGGTAAGAAGATATTGAGTTAGCGGATAGCTTGTATACCAATTATCGGTCGTCAGGTTACAGTTGGAACCTTCGTACGCACCAATTAGCCTTTTGACAATGTTAGTACTTGAATTAGAAGCCTCATAATGTCCTGGGGGTTGATTGCCACAGTAAATTTCAAGATTCAATGTATGAAACGTTCGTGAGTTAACAACTGCAAAATTTTCAGATCATAATTCGTGGGCTTGTTGGGGATGAATTGAATAAAAGAGCACCTCCCGTGAAAGGGTTCCAACTTCTCGTCGATTGTGAGTTCGTCACCTGGTGTATAAACATTTTGACAGTTCTGATTGAAAGATTCAAAAAATTCTCTTAGTGCAGCAAGCTTATCAGTTTTTCTTCGCACATACCTTGTGCCTTTATCATCGAATCTAATAGCAGCACACAGGTTTCTGAATCGCTTGAGACCCATGACTCCTTGCAAAATTTCAATTCCAGTACCATCTTTTTTGCCCATGCTTCCTCCAAATTGAGTTTTGACAGTTTTTTGCATCCTAATAAGAATAAAATTCCTAAAAAGGCCAACATTTCTGCTCTATTAGTATCATACATGCATCTCTTTGAGATGTTTTGGAAATCATCTGCAGTCCTGTTACATTTGAGATAAATATTTGTATATAGTACGATAGCATCAATCATATTTGTATTTATTATTTTCTGAAAAGCAGAAAGCTCATCATTTATATCGTGACAAGTACTTGGGCATATTTTTTTCATCACATTTTTTCGAGGCCTTCTGGCGAATTTGCTCTTGAGGGGAACTTTATTCCACTTATAAGTTTCCTTTTCTTCTTTCAGAAACTTTCTTCCAACTTTCTTCTTTTTGTAAATTGTTTTTACAAAAAAGTCCTCATATTTGAAATCACTCATTTCATTTTCAATATCACTAAAATCGTCATTTGTTGGGGAAACATCATTTGAGAAAGGAAAATGAGGATGTTTAGAAACATTTCCCTCAATTTCTGAGTCATTTTCATGATCAGAATGTTCGATGACTTCCGATTCATTGACATCAGTTGCGTTATCCAAATTGTCGGAGTCTTCATCAACCGAGACTTCTTCTAAAACGCACAAATAATCTTCAGGAGGTACAATATTCTTTCTGTACATACTTGGAGGAGCGGCGTACTGCGTTCGCCTACGCGACATGTTCACAATAACTGTTTTTGGAAGGAAGTCGAAAACCAGACTGACCAGAAATACCAGGTGCATTGCACTCATGGAATCTTTCTAGGAGGATAGAGGAAGGGAGGAAGCTCAGGAAGAGGTTGTCTAAAAATTACAGCCCAAAAGATGGGATTGGCGTACTCTGTACACCGGCCCCTCCATTGCAGGGTTAAATAAATAAATAAACTGAAAGCTTTCAGATTTTACATTACATCCAAAGGGACAGTTTTTTAACCGTTTGTATGTTACCTTTATTTATATGTTCTTTGCACTTAAACCGTAAAATTCAATTCAACAGCAATATTGCAAAATAATTTTAAAATGAGCATATCTTTACAGTTTCTGATACACAGTCTCGCATACTGGAGATAAAAATTTCCCCCCACCGGGTGCAGCTTTGCCATTGCTTGCGTTGAAATCATCAAGTGTGTTAATAAAAAATTTATTGGAGTGTTACAAAGTATGAATCGATAATAAAACGAATTTAAAATTCCAAATTAGGGCTTACAAATGCCATATTTGGTGAAAGATTACATTATTCAAAATTTGATGGCTCTAGGTACCATTGTTTTATCACAACGCGAGAAACATACATACATTTGTGCAGATTCTTTGTGATTTAATTTCTTTAAATATAACACAGGGTGGTAATATTTGGTGGCAACAATTTGAAATGAAAAGTGAACTGATAGTTAATATTTTCAAAGAAAAATGCCAAAACGAAGTTCATAACCCTTCTGGGCTACAAACCTGGAAAACGTATCTTAAGATCTCCCTGCTTCAGTGCATTCATTTATTTAACAGTGCAAAGATTAAAGGTGCATTCATTTATTTAAAAAATGTCTTAAAAGCATATCTTAGAGTCTCCCTGCTTCAGTTCTAGTCATCCATTATATTATGAAAAGTTCTTCTATGTCCTTAACTACAGGATTTGAAATAGCCATACAAAAAATTTCTCCATTAAAAATATTTATATAATTTTTCATTATCATATTTTGTCATTTTATTTTCATTGATACCAATTTTAAATTATATCGGTTAGGTTATTTAACTTTTAAATATATTAAATATTTTCCGTATTTTCAATTTAATATTACTGGTTGCTTTCTATTTGGGTGCTTATATTATCATTTTTAGAAATTAAACCTTGGTAAAATTACTAATTGTTTTTCATAATAGCCTTAATGCATTACATCAATTACCAGTGACTGATGATAAACCTTTGCTCAAACTACTTCTGTCATCAATGACTGACAATGGATTTCTCATTCTGATGCATCTGACACCAGTAATCAACAGTTTAAGATTTAATAAATTATAACTTTGTATTACAAACAAAATATATTGTTACGTTTTTCTTTTCCTTCTGACATCAATTATTACGTTATTTTCTGATACCAATTGTTATGTTGTTTTCTTCCTTCACGCTCGCACGGAGTTCGCGTTGATTTGGAGTGAATTACGATGACAGTACTTGATGGAATATCGAAACACACTTTATTGGCCGGTATTAATCAGGACAGCTACAAAGTCACGTTTTACAGTCGTCGAAGATCTACTATACTCTCGCTGGAACCATAAGCGACACAGCCTTCAGGTTATCAGGCTATAAGGTGGAGACAGCTTCTACTGCAAAGCTCCAGAGTACAGCTCCCGACTCTGCTCGGTCGTTCTCGAAACTCCATGTACTCTTGAGACTCTCCACGCTACAACTCGTGCTGCTCTCGATGACTCACTATTTGGTACTGGCCGGCTCCCGACTCTGCTCGGTCGTTCTCGAAACTCCACATACTCTTGAGACTCTCCACGCTACAACTCGTGCTGCACTCGATGACTCACTATTTGGTACTGGCCAGCTGTTAACTCGATCGTCTCTGCACAGACTAACTAGATGAGACACACTAGACGAGGCACACACTGACTCGTCTTCTCGATGAGGCTCAGGCACTCTCACACTGCGGACCCGCAGGGTTTATATAGCATTCGGCTGGTGTTCGAGAACATTCTGGGTTAAACCCGTAAGAATTTGTTTCAGAAGGTTCTCCATCCGTCCATGGCATATCGCCAATTTTGTCACCAAATGGGGGATTTCTCATCAAATGTGGCAACCCTGCCTTCCTTTGTCACTTTATGGCAACCCTAAAACTGCTTTGCGGGGAAGCCATCTTACCACGCCTTTACATTTCGTAACAATATTAATACTATACTGTGGGGAAAGGCAACGACCATAGTTGATAACACACATTTATTACTATTTACAAATATAGATTATATTAGGATTACAATTAATGAAGATGGTATACGAGCGATCGAGCGACGTCTGCTCTGCTCGCCAGTTAATCCTCGTCTTCTTCCGAAGGCGGGAAACACATGCTGACGCAATGCATACGTCACACAGTAGGAGATTAGGGAATATCATGACATAACGTTTCCCACATTCGGCCATCATGACCGGACAGGCGACCTCGCCTGAAGCAACATAGTATATCATCAAATTAAAAAAATTATTATAATATAGTAACATAGGTATGAAAAAAAAATCTGTAGATACAAAGCTGAGGATACTTACACAAATGGAGCAAAAAAAAAAAAAAAAAAAAAAAGATTAAACACCACAGCAGTTAACTAAAAACAAAAAGAACATTAGTATGACAAAATGAATTAAAAAGTTGATATGAGGAAAAAAATATTAGAAAGTTCTCAGGTGTAATCTGTCCAAACTCAGGAGGACCTATAATGCTCACAGTTTAATAAAAATTCGCAATTTCGCGCATTGCGATAAAATATTGCAAAGAGCTTTCATTCGAGCGCATTTTTCTTCTTTCGAGTTGTTTATGAATTTCAATAGAAGTAATTTTATCGGAAAACTCATTAAGTAATACTGTTTTAAACATGTCGTATGAATTGAGATTCCGTTGTGAAAACAAAAAAGTTTTAGCAGTACCCACAACAAGTCTTTTCGCAAAAACTAATTTTTGCTGGTCGGTAAGATTTGGGAATAATTGGAAATTATCCTCTATCTAATCATCTAAAAAAGCACGGACTGAATAGGAATCATTGCCTGAAAAGTTTCTGCAAGTGTTTGAAAGATCTCTCAAAATAAACCATAAGTCATGACTCATCTCGGTGTTCTCCGTCATATAAACACCGGAGCGACTCGAATTCAAATTTATTACTTCCGCGTCAGAAGAAACAACGCGATTTGGGCTTGGCGCCGTGGAGGGAGGGGAAGGGGGAACAGAAGAACTTAGACCTACAGGCGTCGGTGCACTGTCGGTGTTTGAAATTGAATGATCGTCATCTGATAAAAAACTAACATCTAGGGAATTGTGAAAATCCGTCAGATTAGTGAGCGCATGAAAATTTTTTCACATAAAACATCTTTATTAGTGGAAGCTTCCAAATGCAATAAATTCGCCACTGATATAAAATCTGATAAAGAGAAATCTTTTAATAGAAGTTCTTTATGTTTTGCCAAATCGAAACTGTCCGGGAACGCAGCAAAATTTCGCATTGCTTTCGCGAAGAATGATCAAAATTGGAATATCCGAGCACGGTATTAAATAATTTAATAACTCGTGTTGTGCCATATTTAAGAGAATTCGCTATCAATGGGATATCACCTAATTTTAGGGCCATAGTTCTTTAAACAGTAAAATAGGACAATATGAATATGAAATAGGGTATGTATGAATGAGAATTAAACAGTATAAACACAGCTTAAAATCGTAATACTAATAAATTATGAATGAATCAGGGAAAAATGGGCCTACCTAACTTTGGGGCAGTCCTTATAATCCAATATTTATCTTGGCCAATCCAATGTAATCCAAAATCGAATTTCGATTTAACGTCCAAAATCAGAAGAATGGACAAGTAGCATGTAACATCATTCACATATGTCGTCCAGGTTGAAGAATATTAAATCGTCATAAAGGCGCGTCTTCATTCACATACATCGTCTAGCTTGAAGAAGAATATTAAATCGTCATAAAGGCACGTCTTCATTCACATACGTCATCTAGCTTGAAGAAGAATATTAAATCGTCATAAAGGAACGTTTTGCCTTTGTTAGCTTTCTGAACGTCTTTAGTGATTGCTGGTGTCTAGGGTTCGATTATAACGCATGCACAAAAGGCACGGTCGAGCCCCCAAAATGTGGGAAAAGGCAACGACCATAGTTGATAACACACATTTATTACTATTTACAAATATAGATTATAATAGGATTACAATTAATGAAGATAGTATACGAGCGATCGAGCAACGTCTGCTCCGCTCGCCAGTTAATCCTCGTCTTCCGAAGGCGGGAAACACATGCTGACGCAATGCATACGTCACACAGTAGGAGATTAGGGAATATCATGACATAACGTTTCCCACAATACTAGAAAAAATCTTCATATTATGTATATTAATAGAATAATTTACAGATTATTGTAATGAATTTTATTAAAATCTATTGTAAGGAGAGATGAGGTTTTTTTTTATTGCAGTTGTTGCAATAATTTGACTCTCGAATTGAATTTCTGAAATTTTCCTGAATTTTCTTCATTTTATAGCACCTCCCATACAAAAAGCTTTCTTCTCCCATGTGATTTAAGTTTGATGACATGGTTGCTCTTTAATGAACTGTTCACAAAACCTATCCATCACCTGTGTCATATTTTTGTTATGCTTCCATTCCATGTACCCACGCATTTGTTACTAAGTGCTCCTCAAAGGTCAAGTCACTGGTATCTGCCTTCGTTCATTAAGCACAGGAAGGCAAGACAATGAACTGGTTAATGTACAGACTTTATTCTCTTTCATGGGCAGTGATGTGACAGTTATGCAACAATCATGTTGAAATTTACATGAGGAGCACAATTGCCATATCAATGATCAGAATGTGAATCTTAAATATCTTATCATCTTACACTGTTACACACATTTAGTTTAGGTGTAAAGGGACTTTCTGGCTACACTGTAGATAGTCATAAGATGAAGGCATACTTTTTCTTTGAAATTTAGTTAATATATTTTCGGCATGTCATCAAATATTTGCAATGAAAACATAAAGGATCAATAAAAGTTCAAAAACTCCCCCGCTTTTTTTATCACTTTATTGTTTTGATGTAGCAGGCACACATTTGCTTTGTCCAATATAATCTTGTTTCATCCAATAAAATATCACATTGTTACTCAGTAATTTTAAGCTGATATTGTAACTAATGAAGATTAAGTAAAGTTAGAGAAATATTCGGATTTCAGTAGTCTAGAATTCTTGAAAGTGGAAAGTGAGAGTTTAATATGAAAAACTGAAACCTCCTCTAATGCAGTTATCAAGGAGCGAAGGCTAAGTAATGTACAGAATTTATATTAGTAATTACTTTTCAGGTTGCTCAGTATATTGGTGAATTATGCAGGTATCTTCTTGCTCAACCTGAAAATCCTCAAGAGAGGAATCACCAAGTTCGATTGATGTTTGGCAATGGATTACGTCCTCAAATTTGGAGAAAGTTTGTAGACAGATTTAACATAGCAAATATTGGAGAATTGTATGGATCTACAGAAGGAAATGCCAATGTCAGTAAGTATTCCCTTTATTGTTATTAAAGTTTATTTTAAGCTTTTCAAGGTTTTTTATATTACTGATTTTAAAAATACAATATATATCATTTACTCTTAATTGCCTAATATGAATTTATAATTGCATACCATTTTTTGTTTAGTAACTGTCAGGCTTTTTACAGTTCACCTAGAGCCAGCTTTTAAGAGATGCTATTATTCAGAAGTAATTTAATATTTTTATTTCCTAGTCAATATTGATAACAAAATAGGAGCAGTTGGTTTTATGTCCAGAATAATTCCAACAATATATCCTGTCAGCCTTATAAAAGTTGAACCCAGTACTGGAGAACCCATAAGAGATGAAAAAGGCTTATGTATACGATGTGAACCAGGTAATGAATTTTTACATAATTATTTATCAAAAGTGTATTTAATCTTAAACAAAGAGTAACTGAAGTGTTCAGTAAGCATTCTGTACAAATGTCTGAAAGTAGATGATTTTTTTGGGGGGGTAGGGATCATGTTTAAGTATAGTTGTTGTAGGAGCACTACTGTAGAAAATATAATTCTGAAAATCTGGGTAAGTTTATCAAAGATAAATTAAGATATATTTTGTTTAAAGTCATCAAAATATTTCTTACTATACATGCATTCATTCGTATCAGTGTATTAATGAATTTGTTCTTGTTACATACTATTTCTACATTATTACAAAGATATTTTTTCACTGGAATTATTCGTACCTTATTATTTATTTAGATTTTTAAGTGTATAAAATTCTTATAAATCTTGTGTAAGTAGTAAAAGTATTAAATAAAATATAATGTAGATAATTTTTCATTTGATAGCAATATAGAAAAGTTAGGAATGAAAAGATAGTAATTACACTGATAAATGCATGAATATTTTTGAAACTGTTATGTTGTTTTAAAAAAATACTTAAAAAAATAAATGAGAGTAAAATATAACATTATAACTTAAATAAATTTTAAAATTTTTTCCTATTGTTTTACCTTATGTTATTTTGTGAGCAAATGAAAACTGTAACCTTAGTAATGTAAGCAACTGAACTGCAACCTTAATAATGAATGGTTATATAATCAAAATTCAGGATATATGTTAAAAAAATACGAAGAATTTTATATGATCAGCTGTTATCATTAGAGGCAAAATACCTGTTTTACATCACTAAAGAGTCATGTTCTAAAAATAAAAAGTTATGCATTTTTTTTTGTTATGTTATTGTTATATGTTACTCAATATGTTAGTTATGCATTTTTTTTTAACTGATCACTTTTTCTCGAGCTGTTATAGAAGAAATTTTTCAGTGTCTATTCTTGAGCTATGTTTTGTCTATGATATTTTTTCCCCATCCTTTGATTTCTGTTTCTCTTTTATATCTCTATTTTCTTAATATCTTCATAGAATATTTCTCATCCATAAAGAGGGCTATTTCAACTCTTCACTTTTATTTCAGAAATGACTACATGATATGCATGGCAGTCAAAAGCCCTAGTAATAAGCCCAGTTTTATAAGTATATAAAAGACTAGTTTATTGTCAAAACCTTCATCTTGTAGTCAATATTTATATATTAATAGCCTTGCCAACTGTCTTGATAGATTTATAATTTAAATAATTTGAAAGTTAATAATTTTATGGTGTGTGTTGTGTATGGGTGTGTGAGATACCTTCTGTATTATAAATAGATCAGATGTGTTTATATTTTATATAATTATATTATTCTATATAATTTTTATAACTGCATAACTCTGTTCTTTCTACCAAGCTAAATAACTATTATTTACATCCCTGATACTGTATTTGTAATCTTTGTCTCTGCTCTTTCTTTTATTCAAAATAAGTGTAATTTTCTAATTTATTTTGGTGGCCACATCATTCAAAATGAGAATGATGATGATAATATGAATAATTATTATAAAGTTTCACTTAAAATTTTCATAGTTATTAAAAGTAATAACATAAATGATAATGAAATTATATTTTGCATCATAAGATCTTACTCTTTGTAATTTATAGTGCTGTATTAAAAATAGACCGACAACCCTATATTTTATATTAAATATAAGGTGTTTATTTTGTGCTACCGTTTTATAAGAACTGAATTTGTAACCTATCTAAGGCATGGACAGGATCAGAGAAGATAAACTAAAAATAAGCTAAAACTGAATTCCAAAATTTATTTAATTGTGAGCTTGCCAACAGAAAATAAGTAATGTATTTTATGGCATTGAATTATTTTTATTATATTATCATCAAAACCTGATATTTTTTATAGATGAAATTGTTTCTTTAAAACTAAAATGTCTTTCTTTTTTGGGGGGACAGCCTCTTTTTTGATATGAAAATTTTAATTTAATTGTAATATTTATGTAATTTAAATTTTAAAACTAAAAATATCATAAAATGGAGCGTAAAGAAATTCATATTGCTGTGGAAATTTATTTTTATTGTAACTGTGTGAAGGAGGTGTGATACAAAGTGATACACAAACAAAAAGTATTAAGTATTTAAAAAGTAGTATTTGTTTAAATTGGGTTTTAGTTTTTAGTTAAGGGTTTTAATTATCCTGATAATTAAAGTTTATCTTACTTGTAATTGTTAAATCTGTTGAAAACTGCAAGTTTTGCATTCTTAAGAGACAGAATTAATTTCTTTACAAATAATGCAATATTTAAAAAATAAATAAATAATAAACTTCATTTTGATTCTATTCTGTATCACGTATTTCATTTATTTCATAGTTTTTTACTTTTGATTAATGAAAAATAAGAATATTCTTCTCTTAATGGAAAAACTTGTGAAAATGTGTTATATATATATATATATATATATATATATATATATATATTATATATATATATAAACAATTTTGTGTGTTATATATAAAATTATTATGCTTTCAGGTGAACCAGGTGAATTTGTTGGTAAAATAATTGTAACAGATCCATTAAGACAGTTTGATGGATATGTTAATAAGTCTGCAACCAAGAAGAAAATTGTAAAAGATTGTTTCCAAAAGGGAGATATGGCTTTCCTGTCAGGTAATAATTTTTTGATGAGCATATATGCTTTATTTTGTATGTAATTTTATACTGTGGGCAATTGTAGTTTCATATCATTCGCATTTTCACTATGATTAAACAAACTTTTTAAGACGAATGTTCTGATGATAAAGATCTGTATAAAATGTGGAATAAATATCTGTTTCCAATATATGAGAGTTATGGGAATACTATGTAATGAAATGGTAAGTATAAGTGTATTAACATATTTTCCCACAGACCATTATTTAAACAAAAACAGTCACCAAGTAGTGTAATTCAGTGTCCGTAATGTATAAGCATGATGTGACGACACACTTTGAATTTAATATTGGGTAACACAACCATCATTCTAATGTCAAAACTACCAAGTGCAAACTGTTTTATTATGATTTTGCCATTTAAAATTCAATTTAATCAAAAAATCATATATCTGCAGTTATATCAGGTTATTTAAGTACAATAGAAGACATTCATTTAATTGCATTTTTATTATTATATTTTAGTAATAATGGAAGTTTAATAAATTATTAATCAACAATACAAAAATACTTGCATTATTTTAGCAGGTCAAAGATATTCAGATATTGTTAGAAGTAGCTTAGTTTAAACCAAATCATGTATTCTGCGATTTTTTAATTTTTTGTTTAAGAATGATGAAAATTTCTTTTACATGTGTGTGTATCATGTATATCAAGGCCAGATTAAGAACTTCAAAGGCCCTAAGCACTTAAAAGATTCTAGTATCTCCACATATGTTTACACTAGTTATTTTCTTCATTCCTTCTCTCTCTTCATTTTAGTTGCATTCCGTGCTAACATTGGTAATGGGAAATTTTTTGGTGCCCCCTTTCCTTGATGCTTTAAGCACTATTCCTTAATGGTTAGTTCAGCTCTGATATATATACAAAAATGTAACCCATTTAAATGCATGTTACATGTACTATTTTGTAAATAATTTTAGAAATATTTTAACACAGAAAACTACCTTTTTATAATATATGTTTGTAACTGATAATAATAAAATTTTCAAAATTTTTTAAATATTAGTATTTCTATTTTGCTCATGATGTAGTCCTTTTTCCCATAATTGATGCACCATATATAAAATATCAATAATACAATCTCACTAATCAGAAGAATATATATTTAAAAGTATTTTGAGTTATCTTTCATATTCAGATTGAAGGGGAATTTATTCGTTTAGGGAGTTAAAATATTAAAAGAATTTCATTTTCTTTAAATTTAATAAAATATTCTTTTTTTAATTCACATTTATTTTTCTATGTGCTATATCTGTAACTTGTATCTATTGACTAAATAAGGAGTAATCTTTGTCTTCAAATTTCTATTGAAATGATTGGTGCAAGTTTGATGGGATTTTTGCCAACTTTCTTGCTCAGTGAGAAAGTATGTAAGTGCCAAAACGTTTCATTTGAAATAATTATTTTATAAATAAGAAAATATTTTTTTCCAAATTGCTCAAATGCATTTGTTGGGAATGTCTCATTCGTCATTTAGTCATATCCTCATCAAGAATGTTATTCAGGGGGTATTGCAGGGTTAGGCTGGTACTCCACCTACTAGAAGGACACAAGGAACTGATTGATACAATTGATTGATTGATTGATACAATGGATACAATTGAGCCTTATGCAGGAAATAAGCCTTTTGTTACTAGTTAACTTCTGCTAACCATCATACCTTCCATAGCAACCAAAAACAATTAATCGAACCATTTTTAGTTTCTCTTAATGTAGCTGACTTAGTTTATGCAAATTGTTTTATGAGAGCATAGGTGTCCTCACAGTGGGAGTTGATTGAGTAAATTGCTTGAACCAAAAATTCACTTTGTATCATTAATTTCTGTTCACATTTTAAATAACTTAATGTATGTGCATTTTTATCTCCAAAGGTGATATGTTGATGATGGATGAGGATGGTTATTTGTATTTTGTGGACCGAACTGGTGATACCTTCCGCTGGCGTGGTGAGAATGTATCAACAATGGAAGTTGAGGGAGTTATAAGTAATATTCTTGGTCTAACTGATTCTGTTGTATATGGTGTAATTGTTCCAGGTAAAAACATTTATTAGTAAAATTTATATTGTTGCCTTCTTATTTAAATTGTTTTAGCTTTTTGCTTGCTGCATTGTCAATTCCTAGTTAATTGGGATTAGATTAATAAGGGCTACCTTAAAAAAATTAAGTATATCTGTTATCTGTTAATGGTAAAATTAGTATCCCAAACATCAGTGTAAAGCAAAATTGTGTATGGAATATAAAAAAAAGGTTGAAAGAAAGGAGTGGGATAACAAGAGGGATAGGAGATGTCATATTACACTGGTCATCAAAATGAAAGGTTAATTAGAAAAAATATACTCACTAAGTTAATGCTGCAACTAGTGCCTAATTTGTAAATATTTATGTTACTTAAATACGACTGAACACAAAATTGCACTTCCGTTTATACGTTAACACTGGATATATGCAAATTTTGGTGATTTACAATGTGGTTTGTAATGAATGCATGTTGGAATTCCGATCTGTATGTTGTTTAAGGTGAATGTAGCTTTTGAGAGTGATCAGGATTCAGTAGTTATGGCTCAAGGGCATTATTTAAGTGAAAGTCAAAAGTGGTGAATAATTGGTAGAATTGAGGAAGGTCGAACACAAATGGAGGTCACCCAAGATTTGAATATACCTCAAAATGTCATATCAAGAATTTGGGGCCACTTTTTAAGCAGGTGACGAAGAGCAACAGCTGCATCAGAAGACTTTTTTTTTTTTTTTTTTTGTTGTTGGCTTAAAGAAACCATGAAGCGACTACAAGAGATTTGATTTTAGACCTTCAGGTTACCACAGGAACTCGAATTAGCCTTTCTACTTCTTCACAAAGGTTTAATGAGGTTGGACTGTATGCAAGAAAACCAATGATTTATGTCGCACTCAATCGAGCTTCCAGAGTAACGTGTTTAAACTGATATTGTTTGGATCATGCGAATGGAGCCAAAACAACTGGGCCCAAGTATTGTCCAGATATAGTCTGAACAGTAGTTCTAGACGTGTTTTGATCTGGAGAATGGAATAACATGCAACTTGCATGCCCTTGTCCGTGAAATATCCCGTTTCTGTGACCACGGTTTAATGCTTTTGGGAGGAATCGTGACAAATAGCCACACAAGCTGCATAACTTTTAAGGAGGTCCTTTAACCGTTTGCAGATATGGAGCGAGGTATTGGAATCTCAAATTAGACTGTGTAGAGCTGTTGTTTGCCCAGAGTTTTTGCTAATTGATGACAATACTCAGCCTCATCAAGCATATGTGGTGTCAGAATACTTGCAAACAGAAGATATCACTCGAATGCATTGTCCAGCTTACTTACCCTATCCAGCATGTGAATTGAATCTGATTGAGCATGTGTAGAATGCCTTAGGGTGCCAAATTTCAGTGAGCAAATTCCTCCGCAACCCTTCAGGGGCTGAGAAATGCACATTTAGAAGAGTGGTGTGGAATTCCACAAGATTTAATCAACACTGTGGTACAGTTAATGAAATCAGGATCTAAGGTATGTGAAGTGACATCAGTTTCTGTAATTATCCTTTAATTTTGATGACCAGTGTAATTGTTTTTATCTGTAAGAGCATATAATTTAATTGTACGTAATTCCAGAATATGTAAACATTAAAAGGTGGAAAAAGTTCTGACAGGCATTTTTACACAAGTTTAAACTGAATAGTATTGTTCATATTTTCTTATGAATATTGTTCTTTATGCCATTTACAAACCAGTTTCTTCATTTCTAAATGATGCTTATTTTCCCATTTGTTTTCAGTATCGCTTTTTTGTTTTGAACAGTAATTTAATTTGTGTAACCAAATAAATTTATTCTTCTGATTAAAATGCTAAAAAATACAAGTGAATTATTAATAAAAAATTTCTGTTAAATATTGCATGTGTCATCTTTTTTAAGTGTTCTAGTGTTCTCAAAATAATCATGAATTTGAGCTCACTGGGGAAATTTTGCCCAGTATTATGATGATGACAATGATAATTCTATGCCATCTAAATGCTACCAATCAAAATAGTTAGTTCCAGTTTCTGAAGATGATTCTCATGTGCATAGCAGCTAAACTCGCACAAATAAAATAACATTTCATTTACATTTGTTTGTTCTAAAACTTAAATGCATTTTTAATCATCCACAAGTAGTTAGATCAGTGTTTATCAAACATTTTTCTCTTATCTTACTCTAGTGTGCATTTTGGTTATGCCCTCAGCTTTTTCTACATGTATGTATGTATAGTGCAATTTCTTTAAATAGACTGAAAAAAAGTGATTTATTTCACATTTTTTTTTTTCCTTTTTGCCAGAAATTAGTAATACAAATAATAAATAGTAGCATTTTAGTGATTTTTTTAGTAAATATTACATAAAGTTTTATGATTATAGTATAGTAAGAGTAATTTGTGATTACTCTTACTATACTGTAATCATAAAACTTTATGTAATAATGCAAATCCATTAGCATTAATGTAGTAAAAATATTTTCATATATAATTAATGAGGTGGATGAGCTTAGTGAAGAATTAATTTTACGAGTGCTGTTTATTAACAAAGGTTTTAAAATATCATGTTCAGCAATTTTTAAAATATTTCTTCATTTTACCTTTTATTAGTGTACAGCACTAAAAATCTGTTACCATGTTTGAAAAACTCTCTAGTCTTCATTATGTTTGCTGATTAATGTATAGATATGCACAAATAATCTGAAAGTTGTCCTGCAAAATTGTAATTAACATTTATGTGTCATGTAAAAAGTCTTCACGAGTTTAAATGAGTGGTATACAGTGTACTTCTTAACTCAGGATTAAAATGAAATTCTAATAAAATTATAAAATTTTCCCGTTTCCTTCGTAATATTCTACTTCTCCCCTTTTTTGTCATTCTCTGTCACACTTTATGGCACTGAGCAAACATCAAGCAAAGTTATGATAACCATTGAATTCAAACCTATTTTGACCATTTGTACGGTCTGCTCATTTCAGAACCACAGATTAAATTCTGCAGTTTTGACCAGTATAGTATTATAATGTTAAAAATAAAGAGAGGTATTATCTTTTGTCAACTGGCAACAACTGTAATTTGATTGAACTGAAAATAGTGCCTTTTTAGCTAGTTTTAACTGATAAGTGATTTTTCTCTGATGTGTTAAAAAAATATTGGTAGTATTATTCTCGAATCTGAGTAATCAGGTATCAGACAATTTCATAATTTATTAGTCTTTCTGTGGCTGGTTTTTCTCTAAAATATCTGAAATGGCATAATTTTACCCAAAAATTTAGCACTTCATATAGCAACTTATTTAGTAATATACATAGGGTGTTTTAAAAAATTGCACAACTAAATATATCTTAAATGATTGACCATAAGTTTTCTGTATTGATAAGTTTACCATAAATACATAAAATAAAAAATTTTGATTTATACAAAAAATAGTAATGTCCATCAATGGTCTGTTGATCACCATATAAGGTGTAATATATAATCATAATCTTATCATATAATCATGACCTATAGATAATCATAATCTTAACTGTTTTAACAGTGCATGTTTTGTTTTTGTAAAATTTTATGTTCTAACTTGAATATATTATTAAAAAGCATAATGCTTATTGTGGTGATATCTACTGTGCTTAGAAATCTGATGAATTTTTTCCTTCGTATGATCTGCTCTTCAGTCAGTTTTATAGTTTTCATATTTATATATACTTTTTTTTCATTTTTTTTTCAGATGTTGAAGGTCGAGCTGGCATGGCTGCCATTTGTGATCCTGAAAATTCAGTTGATTTGAAGCACCTGCTGAATGAACTTACTAAGGTTCTGCCTTCATATGCTGTTCCTCAATTCATAAGAATATGTGATAAACTGGAATCTACAGGTTAGTGTTAAACTTAAACCCTTCACCGGTTTCAAGATTAAGCAATTCTTTCTTCCCAAATACACACACTACCTGTCAGTTGTAAATTTGTTATGTTAGCTGTATTTACACACTGTAGGACAAATGTGACATTTAAAGTAGGTTTTTCTTTGTTTTTTTAAATATTTGTTTAAGAAATTTAAAGCAATTTATCTTTCCTGGATTTAAGTGCATTTTTCTAAATTTGATATGCATTATTGTTCATAATGATTGAATAGATGTTTCAGATGAAAATGTTTTTTAGAAAATACTGGCTGCAAGCAAAAAGGTTTTCTGTTTGCTTCGTTTGATTTCATTTAGTTATTACTCATCATCAGGTTTTGCTGACTATGATAATTCATCCACTATCTGCTGAAACCACTTGATTCCAGCATTAGCATTTCCAATGAATTCATTGAGAATTTAATAGTTTCTTGCTTTTGGAGGGACTGTAGTGTGCTTGATGTTTTGCTGTTTCACCCCTGGACTTCTAGGTTATTAAAACTTATCACTATGAAGCTTTTTTTCTTGTTTGTTTTGGTGATAAGTTTTATGCATTGTATTCATGTCATCTTAACCAGGAACTCTACATGATCTTAAATGCATGATAAAGGATATGCAGGATTAAGAAAAGCAAGACTTATTATTAATTATCTTGATAAACATGTCACACAAAATATTTTGATTAAAACAGTTTCATTTTGTTTCATGTGTTGATTGTCATTTTATGTTTAAAAAAATAAATAAATTTGAAATCGGTTAATCATTTTAAATTATTTAAAATACTCATGTACAGTTATGCTTCACACAATGAATCTCTCTCATAGTCAATAATGTTTGTTAATGGGCTGAAAAATGTCCCAACCTGACTTTGCGTTATGAACCACTTATTAATAATGGTGCATATTACTAACATGCTAAAACAAATTTAGTTATGCATGTAATATATGTGTTTAGGTAGTGCATAAGTACAAAGGGTTTGTTCTGCATGTTAAGCAAAGGCAGAGTCCCAAGCCAATAAAAAGAATTGCAAGCTCTTTTCAAACAGAAGCATGCATAAGCATGGGAAGAGAGTTATACTGGTAAGGAGGAAAAGAACACAATGGTCTTACTTACTGTAACCGTCAGCGATGAACTAGTCAGAGATTGGCTTGGCAGCACAGACATGATAAAAGCTTGTCTGTGCTTGGCAACACAGACACGTTCCAAGATCTAAATTAAGGTGAACAGTTGCAAATGTATTCATTAACAATGCCGTACACTACTATAAGATCATCACAAAGGAGAGAGAAAAAATAACCACTTTAAACAGCTTTTTTGAACCTCTTAAAAAATAATGCAGATGTGGTAGAAGTTTGAAACAACTGAATTTTGAACTTTTAATAGAAGATTGGGAACATACTAATTTAAACCAAACTGAAAAATTGTGAGATTAAGAACACATATGAATGTACATGATTTTTTTTTTTTTTTTTTTTTTTTTTTTTTTTTTTTTTTTACAATTAAAAATAAATTGCCAGCACTGCTGCATTTTATTGCCTTTTTTTTTTTTTTTTTTGGGGGGGGAGAATTTGGAACAGATAAAAATTTATAGTAAATAATGGGAAATATCATTTTGTACAATTATTTATTTGTATAACAAATTATATCCTAGAATACAAATCATTAATTATGAGGTAATACTGTATTTTAATAATATTGATATCCATATAATTATAAGAAATGAATATTATTTAAAATTTCTCTTTTACAGGCACATTTAAGTTAAAGAAAGTGGATCTCCAGAAGGAAGGATTTGATCCTTCTATAGTGAAAGACCCATTGTATTACTTGAACAAAAAGCTTAATGCCTATGTAAAGTTAGATACTGAAGTATACTCAGATATTTGCAGTGGGCGAATTCGTATATGAAATACCCTATGCAATTAGTTTCACCTATTGTAAAGTATTTTGAGCAATTAATGTATAAAGGGAAATACTTTTGTTGCCAGTTAAAAAAAGCATATGTTGGCACAATTACTGAAGATTTGACTGTGAAAAAGGAGTCGGACATTTTATATAGAATTTCAAGTGATATATTTATTTTAAATAGTCCTTATATATTTTTTTTAATTTAAAGTCATAGATTTCAGCTATTAATACTAGCAATGTCATTTTTTGTATGTGTGAACATAATATTCAAGCGGCATGTTGATAATTTGCGAATTTGTTTTCCTGTATGAAATAGAAACTGTTTAGGTTTAGCTTTAATTTATTAGTTTAGGTCTATTTTTAAAATTCTCAGACATACCACACTTCCTGAATTCCATGTAATTAATTTTTACCTTATTTATTTACATATTTGTTTTAAATCTCAAAAATCTCCTGTAACATTTGTATGATGATAAAGTCTTTTGTGCATGATATTGATTAAATTTTGAAAATTTATGATAAAAATGTGAAAGTACTTGTTTCATTAATTTGCTAATACTTAATCATAAATCTGTAAAAAAAAAATTGTTTGTTTGATATTGATATATGAAAACGGTGCACATTTTTACATTTTCATGTTAAAGCACTGATTAGCTTACTCAGTATTAAATTTTTCCTAGTGCCTTGTAGTATTTTAACCCCCCTTTCTAGGGGACCAAATTATTGGATGCTTTAAAAATTTTAAACTTTATCTCATGAGCAGTTTCTTTCAATGTTATATGAGTTTCATTAGGTATAAATGATTAACGACATTCGCTTATATAGTTTAGTATATTCATTTAATTCTTGGAGATGTTGAATACATGGAGCTAATATACTAACAGTTTTTATATTTCATGTATTTATTTAGTATTCTTTTAACTTGATGCCCATGTAAATCAGAGGGATTACTAAATATATTTAAATTCATATTGAGCTTTTGTTCTAAATTTATGCTATTATCTTGTTTGCAGAGTAATTTTGGATATGCTTATCAAATTTATGCAGATCATATATAAATTAAAATGAAACTAAACTTCGAATTATTGTTGACTGTTGCCATCACAAATAAAAAAAATCTTCTGAAGCCTAATGCAGATTCTAAAGCCTAATGCTGTTATATATTTTGAAACTTATGCAATTGTTACTGCAGTGTTTTCTCTCAATGTTTTAATATTTGGAAATTTATTTATCTGTGCCTTTTTGAATGTAAATGCAGGTTTGAATGCATTCCAATATGTTTTGAATGCAGTATTTTGGTTAGAGAATCTATTTTTAGGAAGGTGAATTTTTAAAGCTTATTCTTATGAGAAAATGTATTTTATAATCAAAAAATACCAAAGCAATTCTGTGGAAAGTTCTTTTGCACAATTCTCTTTTCAGTACTATTTTGCTTAACTATTTTGATGCCTTTTTTGGGCTACTGTAATGATTTCATATTGTTTTATATTGTGCGTCTTCAGCATTAAATGTTTCTAATTGATTCAGCAGCATAAATTAATATAATCTTTATTCAAAAACATAAATTTATGTACATTGATTTTAACATGAGTATATATTCTAAACAATTTACAAGTATTTTATACATTCATTTATGTACAGTTCATATAGTACCACATAGATCAATTGTTCATTTTTGCATGTAAAAACTTCATACATATGCTGGACAATAAATATTTAATGCAGTAATTGTCTATACTGTATTTTATTTGTGTACTGAATATTTCTTGTTAGACTTCTCTTGATTTGAATACAATTTAAATAAATCACAGTGAAAAGTAGAAATTTTTTTCTTAAGAACTGTATTGCTTTTAAAACTCTTTATTGTCATTAAACTTTCAGATTAAATTTGAAAGTATCCTAGGCTTTATTGAATTGCAAACACTGGCGTGTAAAAAATAAAAATATTTTATTTCTGGCCACAGCAAAATATTGCTTTCATCAGGTTTGTTAATTAAAATTGAAAGATATTTATCTTATATTTTCTCAAATGGCAACAGACAATGTTGCCCCGTGAGAGATAAAAATGTTTTATTTTGAACAATTTTATCTCTGCTCACTTTCAAATAGTTGAGTTTGTTAATTAAAAATTCAGTAGTTTTACAAAATATGAAATAATAAAACATATTCAAAATTCGAGCTTCCACGTGGAGGATTACCCTATTCTAATTTTGATGGCTCTTAACAGTTTTTTCATAGTGAGGGAATCTACATTGAAGCATATAGATTCTTCATTATTTGATTTTTCTAAAAATAGTATATTACAATATTTGGCGGCAACAGTCTGAAAAGTGATTGGCTGTTTATGGTGAACCAACACAAAATCCGATTTCAACCAATAGCCCCTTTTGCATTAATAATTAATGATAGTTACACATATATTTTGAAGAGCATATTCAGACTAACTGAAAAGATCATCGAATTGACTTCTGAAATACATAGGTCACTCTGATATTTTTGAAATACATGCAGACTATAAGGGGCAGAAAACAAAATAACGGTTAGATTTGAAAATATGAACTATTTTACCCTAGGAGACTGTTTATTATTGACCAATCGCTAGAAGTTTTAGTGTATAATAAAGATTAGGCAGAAGAAAAAATGGAGTTGAGACAAGAACATTATCATGTTATGATTTTGTTGTTGTTCATTCATTTATTGAACATTCATGTTATGCTTGCGAGATTAAATTAAAAAAAATATTAGTTCAAATTAGCATTTGGAAATGAAGGTCCATCTCGTGCTACTGTATTCAAATGGTCTATAGAATTTCACAAAGGTTGTAACTGTCTTCAGGTTGAAGAAACACAGGAATGCTGCTGCCAGCAGTAATCCTGGATAATGTGTCTGCCATATGGAAAATGTTAATCGTTGATAGTCGCTGCATCTACCAAATGATACAGAAGGAACTTAACATTGGATCCACTGCTGTAATTAAAATTATTCATGAAGAATTGTATAGGAAAAAAACTAGTTTCCGATCATTTAACTGACAGCACCACAATGAAAAGTGTATCAAAATCAGTAAAGAAACCCCTTAAATTACTTAAAGATGCCACCACATTATTTCTAAAATCATAACTGGTGGTGAAACATACATACCATTTTTTGATGTTCCAACATGTCAAGAAAAGTATGTGTCTTTGAAAATGATTTCATGCCCACAAGTTGTGGGGGAAAAAAAAATGCCATGAGAAAAAAAAATAACAATAATGTATACCGTTTTATTCACAAGTACAGGACTAGTCATCAGCAGACAGTCACAGCTAACGGTACACCACTATCTTTCAAAAATTTTTCAAGACGTGAATGTTAGGACTTTCACCACAACAATGCATCTTCTCATTGAGTAAGATTGACAGTAGAGTTTTTGGAACAAAAATGCATCAAAGTGATAAAACATCCACCCTATTTCATCCGATCTAGCTATGTGGGACTCTTAGCTATTTTTTAATGTAAAAAAGAACTTACATGGACATTGTTTTCATTCAGAAGATGAGATTGATAAGGCTATAAATGCATTTTTTCATTGATTTCAAGAAATAAATGGCTTGAGTCATTTAATTTTTGGAAAATTTGCCTAGAGTAATTTGTCTTTCCTTGATTCTGGAGAAGACTACTTTGAACATTCCTAAAATTTTGTCAGTATAACTTCAAAAACCTATGTCTATCTTAGAAATTTCAGAATGACCCGTATGAAATGAAAATTAATGGAACTTCTGTTGGAAAAATATGAAGCTGAACGGCAAAATTTTTTTTCCGTAAGTGCCATAGCATGCCTGAGAAGCACCAAAACCTTTATTGATCAGTAATTTGATTTCCTACTGGCAGTATGTAGTTGTGTTTCTTTTTATATTACCAGTTTTCTGAAAAAGTGATGTAAAGTATACTAAGTTAATATGTATACAGATATCCAATTAATAATATTTAATTTGATTCATTATGCTTACTTATTAAATACTGAATTTGACTAATACTTACAAGCAAGGTCAACCTTAAACTCTCAATTATTTTGAAAAAGAAATATACACGGATCTATTGATCAAGAAATTCATTCCAATAATAAAATTAGCTGTTAATATTCTACAGCTGAGTAGTTAAAAAATTAAGATTTGGCAATACTTCATTATTTTGTAACTTTCAAAATTTAATTTTAAAAATTTAAGAGTCATTAAGTTGATCAACTTTTGTAAAATAATAAATGAAGAGATAACAAGTAAAAGAGATATAGTTTCTTCATTTATAATTTTAATTAAGTTTATATTAAATATAGTTAGCAACATAAAATGGAAAGTTTAAACAGAGCTGTGAAAAATTAGGTCAAGACAAAATAAATTCTGGAATCATTTTACAGTAGAAAGATTCCATATTATAGTCATTTTAGCATGATGCAGACAGGACACATTTTACTTGATAATATATACACTGACTACAGACTAAATATAAAGCACAGATGGGATGCAGGAGAAAATTACCAAAAACAATCTATTGGAAATAACGAATTTTAGAAATTCAGGACCATCACCAGCCAAATGCTAAAAATTACTGAACACAAGTTGTTCAACATGGATTCAAAACATGGTGAAGGGACTGGTTGTAGGGTGCTTTTCCCTATGAGTAACATGAGCACCAGCCATTTAACTTGATTTTCATTTTTTAAAATTTTTTCTTCCATTACCATATTTTTGAATTTTTTCTCCCATGCATAAATTTATTTTGGATACATTGCAAGCTAGAGTAAGTTAAAATTTAACCCTTTTCTCTCCCTTGTAATCACATGATTATATGATGATGATGACTCACTCTTCTTTCCTCGGTTCCTTTATTTAACTGACAGAAGCATCTGTGAATTCAATTTCACTTGTGTTATCCAACTCATTTTCAGAATTAATGAAGCAAGGAAGTTTTCTATTGCTTCATCAAATATAACTTCTCGCAGACTTTCATATTCCTTTAAATCTTGAAAATAAAATTCTTTAGTTGCATATCTTCTTGCATAAAAATCTGTTAATTTCAAATGTTTGGCCACATTGCACGTATTTATAACTCCACATAAAGATTTGATTAACTTTGAATTTATGATTAATTTTGAAGTCCATTTCAGTGTCATCTTAATTTTTAGATTCGGCAATAATTTCAATTATAAGTTATTTTGCAAAAAAAAAAAAAAAAAAAAAAAAAGAGAGATTTACAAAATAGAGTAGTTTGTGTTTAATAAAAGATAAATATACATAATGTAATAAAGTGTAAAGAATTTGATTATAATTAACTTTAAAGTATAGATTGCTATGTTTAAGGCCCAACTTGGTGCATATTTTTCTTGACCGAAGGCAGTCAAAAGAAAAGAATTCTTAAAGCTGGGCAAATGCAGACAGAAAGTCTGGTGTTATTTACTGGATACTTTCTTCTTTTTTTTGTGCGTGTTTCATCTACAAAAATTAATAGCTTTCTTTTCGAAGGTGTAGAATCCACTGCATTGTTTTCCCCGCAGGTCCATTAAATTTCACATAAGTGCAGATTGCAATTTTACTAAAAATCATTTTTGATAAAACAATAAAATGATTAAAAATAAAACAATGCAGAAAATAGTTACCAATGCATTTTTTTTTTTTTTTTCATCATCATCTCTTTTAAAATGAATCCTTATTCAAATTGGACAATGTCTGAACGATTAAAATTCAAATGAATTATTGATCACTAAATGTCATTTTAGTGGAGAAGGAAATGAATATGGAGAAGGAAACTCTGAAGAACATTTTGGTAACAAGCTATTAAATGATTATTTCTTAACAAAAGATGAAATTGTGCAAATTTTCCCCTTGAGTGCTTTCTAGTGTAATCTTTCCTATTAATCTGTATTCAGTCTGTTTTAATCCACTGTAAAGCATTTTTTGAAAACTTAATATTTGTAAAAAATCTTAGCATTTACTTTTGCCTTAACTGGTATGCTTCTGTTTACTAAGTTTTATGCATATTAATGGTTTATTTTTTTATTTTGTTTGAGAAGACTTTGATAAATAGCTTTACTTTCATATCTGAATTTTTATCTGTATAAAATTGATATGCAAAATTAAGTGAAATAATCAATCAATAAATAAAATATGGAACAATGAATAGAATATTTATCAAGTTCTTATGTTAAAACTAATGTTTTAATCTGAATCATGTGTCAAGTTTAATTTATTTGAAATCCTCTCAAAGATGCATCTCAATTTTTCATACATTAAAGTTGGCAACCATTATATAAGATTTTGGTAAGAGAATAAATTCTGGTAATAGGAGTTTTGGATGCTTACTCTAGTAAAAGTATAAATTGCCAGAATAATTCGAGAGAAAACTTCTTAACATATTTCAGAAGTATTTTCTTCAAAAGTAATTTTTATGTTCTTTGGGCTGCTGTTCCCATTTCATTGTATCTGCATTATGCTTCAGCATTGTTTCAATCAGCAAAATAAATTAATATCATCTTTATTCGAAAATATATGTACATTGATTTTTTAACATGATTATACTAAAAATGTACAAATATTTTATACATTCATATATATACATAGTTTTATGTAGAGCCACATACAATAAGTCCATCTTTGTGTATAAAAAAATCATGCATACATTGGCTAGTAAGTACTATTATCTTATGCACAGATTGTCTTTGGTTTATTCTTTTAACAGTATTATTCATAAGACTAGATAAGTATTTAACTGACAATACAGAAGTTTTTTTTAAAAGTAATGTTGCTTATTAAAGCACATACAATTAAATGTTAGAAATCTAGGAAGAAATTTAAAAACCCTTTTCATCACTTATAAGGATGCGGATGCAAATTGGAATTCTACTTTCTGTGATAGATATCAGATTGTATTATAAAATTTGCATACTTATATAACAGGAAAATTGATATGTAACGTTTCTTTATCTTTTCATCACTCAAAGAAAAATATTCTTAAAAGTTCTTTCTTTGGCAATTACTGTATGCTCTTATTATATCAGTTTTGTGCATGCTTTCTTTAAATGTCGAAAATGTTTAATGGCATCAAACTAAAGTGTTATATAATAAGACAATATTATATAATATTTTGGATTTAAGGCCGAGGAGGAAAAGATTATTCAAGGAATTAATGTACTTTATGTTTCATTTACAGCAATGTTTTCATACACAGATATATTATGCTAAAATATTTACATACATTATTATAAACTTAAAAATTATATTTTCATCAGTTTACACTCATAGAGACTTATAGTAGAACTTTAATTTTCTGAACTGAGGCAACAACAATCCGGATATTGAAAAAATTCAGATAATTAGGTTATATTTTTATGTTGGCAAAATGCATACCTGCGGTATTATGCAATACAGAGAATTTTTTTTATTTAATCTAAACTAAATTATTAGCTTTTTAAAAAATCAATTCTACATTTTATTATATTAATTAAATCTGTAGAAACATTAAAAGCTTAGAAAATGAATAATAAGCTTAATTTTATTTAGTTTAGAAAAAAATGAATAGCAATCCGGATAGTTGCACTTCTTGATTGTTTTCTCTTAAAAGTTACAACAGAAAAATAACATGTATCTTGCTTCAAAATTTTACATATTCATTCTGCTATGAATGTAAGATGTTAATTAATAAAATTGAATGCAAGATCAAAATTTTCTCTTCATATGAAGTGTTAAATAGTTTGTACTTCAATTTTAGCGTTTGGGGCATCAGTAACCAAATTTGATTAGGTGATTTCCTTATAAATTAGTTTGGACATAGCAGCACAAACAAACCACAGACTTTCAGGTTTCTGGGACATCCAAGATTTGCTATACAAATCAATCTTTTAAGTTCTAAAACATAACTTGCTTTTCTTTCATTTTCATATTAGGAACTAGCTTCCTTTGGCAGAGTCACAGAAGATGTTTTAAGTTTATAACTCTTTTTGTACCTAATCTTTTATTCATTAGATTCAAGTCATGTTAGTATAAAAATTTTTAAAATATTTCTTGGCGTCAAATTAACCTAGTCAATAAAATATCCTTCATTAGTGGCAATGTTCCGTTATATCTACAACTGAAGCCTTCTTCCAACCAAACACAAAGTAGCCAACGCCTGCTCCAAGTACTACTGCCAAGCATAACCAAACATTGTAAGTCATAAATATAAGCATCAAGAAATAACTCACAACTATTTGGACAATATGCAGAGAAGTCTGTATGGCATGTGGCCAGCTAAGCATTCGATGCCTGAAAAAACAAATGAATGTTAAATAAGATACATTTAAAAATTTAATTCAGTATGTTAAATTAATTTTTTTCAGTTTAATATCAGTAGTCAAATTTTCGGGCCGCATGTGGCCAACAAGGAATTTTTATCTTTTCAAATATATATTTGATGTAAACATGATGTTGCAATATTTTGAAGTCCGAATTTACGTTATTTTCGATAACATTAAAAACAAACATGACTAATGTACCAGAAAATCTAGAAATCGAACTAATTAATTTACAGTGAAATATAAATCTTATTCAAAGGTTTGGATATACAGTTTTATTAATTTTTTATTCGTACTTATCAAAAAATAAATAAGCTGAGTTAAGAATTTTTGCACTCGGAATAATCGTCTTTTTTTTGGTGTGTGTGTGTGTGTGCGAGATATTATATATATGAACAGACTTTTTTTCTCTCACAGCTCAAATTTAACAAAAAATATTTTTTTAAATTACTTTTCAATTGTGAAACAAATATTCTAATGGACCAAAGAACATCAACAATTATTCACATCCAAAAATTTACATTTTTATTTATGCATTCACAAAATATTTAAGAGATAAGAGGAAGACACTAAACTGTTATTTATTCTCAAGTGTTGTCCCACTTAGTAAGTTTTCTCTAATTTAATTCTAATTTCAAATTGTGTCCCACTTGCTAAATTTTCTGAAGTTTAATTTTAAAATTTATTTCTAATTTTATTAATTTAATTCTAAAAATAAACTAATTCTAAAAAAGAGCAAAATATGAAAACTTTTCAAGTTTATACTGACCCCTGGGCAAAGTCGTCTAATGTTAATCATGCCACTAAAAAGTAGCAAGAAAAATTACCGCTCACTGGAAGAATCATGCCGATACTTGAAAGTCAGCATAAACATGCAGAAATCCCAGCTACTCCTGATGAGGGGGAAAAATGAGAAAAGCTGCTGTCAAAAAAAAATCTCCTTCTCTTTGGAGAACCTGTCCCGAATGTAAATCAGGCCAAGTATCCAGGAGTTATTTTCAATGAGCAACTCACCTAGAAAAATCATATCTACTGTATATAGAAAACAGCCCTGGATGTCATGAATTGCCTCTTTCCGATCATTGGCAAACTCTCTAGACTAAGCCAAAAAGAGACTTATTTACCTGTCGACTACTAAAAGACCCACACTGACATATGCCTACCCAGCATAGGCGACCGCAACTGAGAAAGATCTTCAAAAGCTCAAAATAGTGCAATCTAAATTTCTCAGAAATCATGACTAATGCACATTATTATGTGTGGAACCATAGGCTTCATGAAGATTTAAAAACTGAATTCCTCGCAAAATATCTGATGGAGGGGGGGGGGAAGAAAACCAATGAAAAATTTTTCAAAAAATCTCAGGCCTGTGAAACTCTCAACTGTTTTGGGACTTTTCACTACGAACATCTCAATGAAGACCATTATTCGCAGCCTATATGTTGGACCAAAACTTCCCAACCTAATCTATCTGTGCATAAATTTCCTACAATTTGCATAAGTGAATTAGACCTAGCTTGAATATTGTGAAAGGAAATCTATTTATACTGGATATATATAGAATGTATAAGTTCTATGTAAATATTGTAAATAGTTAACTTGCTTGTATTTTATTTTAATTCTGTATTATGGCAAATTCTGTATTATTATTATACTCTATTTTTGAACTTGTATGTAATTAGAAATTTACAGCAATTTGAACTTTGCATTCAATCAGATGACTCACATTAGCTAACATGACTTTGAAATCTCAGCAGAAAGCAACCAATCAGATGTCAGGCTTTTGCACATGTGACAATGATCAAGCTCTTCAATTCCTTACCTAGAATTGGAATCACAGTTCAGAAAAGTTATCGTTATGCGTCTTTACGACTCTACCTGGAAGAGCCAGAATACATAGTGCAAATTAATCATGATAATCTCAATATAAAGTAGAACCAGAAATCCCTTCGTTGCAGAATTATTTTGCTCCTGATGAAGAGGAACCAATACCTGGTTACTCTTGAAATCGATAAAGACTTAGTTGAAATCTGTGTCGGAGACATGATTGTTGCTTTGACTGATTTAATGTTTTACTTCGGCATGCTTCATTTTTCTCTTGAGTTCCAAATTGTTATAGCCGTAGTTGAGTCACTTCGGAAAAAAAGAATCTCTGAGAAATAAATATCAACAAACTGGTTTACTTATTTTCAGCCTATTTGACACAGTTTAAAATTAGGCAAAAGAGCAGAATTATTTCAACTTAGGTACTGAATAAAAAATTTAAAATTTATTCAAAATCTGCACCGAAATAAAGTGTTTTTCCCCCTCTCTATGCCTAACTTTAAATTTTACTCTAGTATGCTTCTCTTCCACAGTATTAACTGGCCCTATATTTCCGGAAATCAGCTAAATTAGATTATTTCTCAGGTGTTCTTGTTATGTATGAAAATGCTTGTAGAAGAAGTTTCACTGCATTGTTGGAAATGTCTCATTATGAAATAACATATAGGTCTGGCTGATAACCTGCATAAGTAAATCCTAAAAGCAAATAGTCAAGTCAAATGTTGTTCTGAGATTTCTGTTGATGAATTGTTTTAAGTGAAGAAAACTTATTTTCTGTAAACTTAAAATTGCTTTCATAATCACAGTCTTAACTAGCAGTAGAGTCGCTTTCAATTTTATGTTCTTGTCTTTCAACCAAGGTAATTTAATAAGTTATTTATTTATTTTGACTGATTTGTTCCAGAAAAGTTTTATTTTCTAGAAAAAGGAAATAAATTTCAAAACTCCTTTGTACAAAGGAATAAACCTCAAAATAAATTTTAAGGCAACATGCAACTCTGTTTTCAATTATTGCAATTTCCAAGAGCTGCATAAAATCACTCATTAATCAAAATATTCATTCATAAAGTTAGTCTTCAGGAAGTCAGCTTAGGGGCTGTAACATGGATGATTGTTGTAGAAAATACAGAATGACAGAAGAATATTCCAAAAGAGGAAAGAAATCCTGTTTTCCCTTTGAAATTTACTACTTTAATACTTGCCCATTTAAACCCTTAAACATCTCTGGAATACTTTGGAGGTGTGCATAACAACAGTCATCTGCTGAACCCTTTAGTAAATGCAAGATTAAGCAATCCTTTCTTCCAAAATATGTGCGATATCTGTCATTTGTAAATTTGTAATGTGAACTGAGCTCGTAGGTGACCATCATAATAAATATGTAATTGTAAAATTATGTTAAGTAACTCCATAACATAAAATCTGGTTAATATAAATATATATAGCACTTTTAATGACTGATTATATTCCTCTGTGCGTCTTTCAGTTATACATAGATATAAGATATAACAAAATACGATGGCTGCTTTAAGAATAAACTGGCAATCTCAAAATTAACTATTCTAGGTTTGGTGCTCTCCCCATAAATTCATCTGTTTTCTCAAATTCGAGATCCTTCCATGTTACATAACAACCTAAAATTAACCAATCATAGGTCTGTACAGTTGCATCTACTTCGGTATAAATACAGCTCGTGAGTTAATTACATCATTCTTTTCCTAGCTTCGCCACTGCTAACATATCCTCGCTGCTCTGCTTGTCCATCTAAGATAATGTTGCCCCCATTAACCTGTGCATATAAGAAATCCTTGTAATTGTTTATGATAAAAAGTTATATTGTTTACGAAAAATTATTCTAATGATCTTAGAAATAGAGATGGTAATTAGCTGAACTTAGTTTGGTATTAACATCTTCTTCCCATCTTGTCACTCTGCCATCACAACTATGCATTAAAATATCACATATATACGTATATAAGGAAAAAATTTGGTAAATCCCAATTTTAATTTTAATTTGTGATAGCCCCTGAACTCTTCATTCTAATTTAGCTGTTTTTCCTTCCTATTCCCCCAAAAAATTAACTACTTGCCATAAATCTCTCTAAACTGCATTATTTCAAAATTAATCCATGAACTGAGATTCTTGCAAAAGGTTTGTGATGCAGATACTTACATAATTTTTCAGCCAATGACAATTTCAGTTATTTAAAATTAAACAATCAAAATAAAGCTAAGCCAAAGCAAAATCATTCTGAATTGGGCTTCGTTCTTAAATGTGTTACATTTATTAACTACTCTCCCTGTATTCCTAGAGTACTGTCACTATAATTAAAACACAATAACATGCCGAATGTTGTTTGACTTCTCAATTAGTACTGTCACTATGTTTCTTACCACAACATATTAAAAATGTAAAAAGCTCTTCAAGAACAGGGATACATACAATGATTTATCAGTGATGCACCAAATAATGTTCCTCTACAGCAAAACCAATTTTTTGTTAAGAAATAAAATAATTGTTTTACTGGCCATGCTTGCAAGTATTTTGTTGTTCTCTTACAAATTTTTACATATACATATATATAACCTGACAAATATTATAAAAATTTAATTATAATTTGTGTTAAATTTTAGCTTATATGCAGGCTCAGACATTATAAATATATTATTTTACCTTTCTACTTTGTGTACTTGAGTAACACGTCCACTTTCACCTGTAATAGCAACTGTAGAAAACTGGATGTTGGATACATACTGCTTGAACAGGTATTCTCTAAAATATTTCAATCCTTCATATAACATACCCATCAAAAATATACCTATCACAGATGCTATCATGCCTGAAATGAGGAATATGGAGGTATATTACATTATTTTGTACTTTAGAACAAGGTATAATGATTTTTCTAGCACATATTCCAGAAACTGATAAATATACTTTAACTTGAAACAAATAATTTGTCCTTAATAGATTTTTATTTATCTATTAAAAAAATAAATATAATTCTTTATTAAATTTAGGCAAAACAGTAAATTTAATTTGACATACATTTTGAATAGAACTACTGATTTTGATGCAAGTCCCTTTTATTCAGAAGCACCCCCCAAGAAAAAAAGAAAAGTGTTGTGTTCCAGAAGAAGAGGGACCTGTGTCTGATCGCCCACAGAATTGATGAAGTATCCTTCAAAATCTATCCCCTATCAAGGTTGCTTTTTTGCTTAATTTCAAATTTTATATTTGTGGGCTTCTCTTCCGGTTTGAATTCTTTGCTGATTAAACTATATATCACAATACATATTCTTTAGTCCAGTATAGTCATAAGTAGACAAAAAGAAAGGCACACAAAATCTGACAATGAATTATAATCAATATTTTAATTGTGGAGGCAAACGTGTAAAAATTAACAACAGTGTATCTACACAGCAAATTTTTCCTCTCCATTTCCAACCTCTTCAAAACTTAATTAGAACCAACTTTTGTAATTTGCATAGTTGCTGTGGTCCAATAACTCTGTTAAACATGTAAACATTCAAATTATAAAGATGTATTTAAAAAAGAGCAAAAGGCAGAATTCATACCTCCAACAGTTGTTATTTTCCAGCCTTTGAAGAGTACATATTCTGTCACTCCAAAATGGAAATACATCTGGTTTTTAAGGAAGAAAACATAACATTAATATAATCTTCACTGATTCAACATTATGCTGTTAATACTTGCATATAAAACATTATAAATTTCATATTGAAAAAAAAAAAAAAAAAAGAAAAATATCTATAACTCTGTACATAATATTGATCCCAAATGCTTTTATAAAACAGATTTGATGGAAAATGTTGTTACGTTATTTTCTTCCTTCACTTCACGTTCGTACAGGGCTCGTGCGGATTTGGGGTCAATAATGACAACTGCACTTGATGAAGTATCGAAACACATTTTATTGGCCAGTATTATTCAAAACAACTCCAATAACACATCTACACAGTCGTCGAAGATCTATAATAAACACGCTGACACGGTCAGCGACACAGCCTTTACACTATCAGGCTATAACGGTGGAGACAGCTTCACTGCAAAGCACCAGAGTACAGCTCCTGACTCTGCTCAGTCGTTTTCGGTACTCCATACGCTCTCCATGCTACAACTTGTGATGAATTCGACGGTACCCTAGAATACAGCTCCCAACTCCTTGGTTCAGTCGTTACCGGAGCTCAACACACTCTCTCGACGATGCACTAACCGCGATACACTAAGACTCTTTCGGTGCACTCGCTGACCGACTGTGATAGATTCCACATGGACTGACTGACGAGACACTAACTCTCCGGATACCAGCAGGGTTTATATAGCTTTTGGCTTGTGTTTCGAGAACATTCTGGGCTAAACCGGTAAGAATTCATTCCAGAAGGTTCTCCATGCGTCTATGGAATGTCGCCAAATGGGCGGTTTCTCGCCAAATGTGGCAATCCTGTCTACTCTTCCCATTTTCTGGCAACCCTAAACCTGCTTTGTGGTGAAGCTAACTTACCGTACCTCGACATTTCGTAACAATATTCATAGAAAATTTTATAAAGGAAAGTATAGAAAATGCTTATTCCACCCAAGGTGACCCCCTTCCATAAGTTAACACCTTCTCTAATGAAACAGTATTTTCGAGAGCATAATAAACAATATTAAATATCGCTTTCTAATAAAACCACCTGCAGCCGTGATTGGCCTCTTATGCAGGATTCATATATACATATAGGGAGCTTCAAAAGTAGAGGAAAGAAGAGTTGGGTGTACCAGATGACTCGGAATCCCACAGTAATGCAGGGTCGGAAATGCAATCCTAATGAGATCAGAGGGGGGATATTAGAGGCTGTTGCAGGAAAATGCCAATGATCACCCGCAGAGGATGTTAGGATTTTATGAATTTTTATGTTTCTATAACCATTTCCAAAGTCAAAGAAGGTGTGCAGTTTCATAACTGCAAACACTTTGGCCATTCTTCTGAAACGTATGAACTTAAACCTACTAGGTGCGTAAAATGTGCTCAGTGCTCGTCCGCATAAAACGGAGAATTGTATGGCTAAGCGTCTTGATATTGTGAACTGTTGTAATTGTATGCAAGAAGTATATACTTTGAACTTTCGAACTCAATACTCATGTGTGGAGTCACAAGAAGTATTCACCCACATGTTGCCCAACAACGGCTTTCCGTGAATGCATGGCAGATATTATTTGTGCTTGCTCAATCGGGCAGTTTCTTTCGCTTTTTCCCTATTGGATAGTCTAAAATATCACATTTTCCTGAAGAAGATATTGCCCAATAAATTGACAGTGTCCCTGCATCTGTTCCCCGTGCAATGAGGTAAGAGCACGATGGGACTATAACTCATTTTGTCTATGCCATACGAAATTTTAATTTAACAATATATTTGTGTAGAATATGAAATTACGAATTGTTGAGTCTGATTGAGCATTCTTTCATGAAAATATTGCAATTTTAAAATGTTTATAAATTACACATTGAATGACGATAATGAAATAATTCTGCACTGAATAAAAGTGATTTTCGCAAAACTTTTTTAGCATCTATTTAATCACAAACATGTGACTTAAAGCCATAGAAAACAATCAGAAAAAAGAATGCGAAACCCAGAACTGGCAGGAATGAAATGTTTTCCAAGCATTATACACTGAAGATCCAAAACATTATGACCATCTACTCAATTACGCATTGCGCAACCTTTGGCATGCAAAACAGCTGCAGCTCGCCTTGGCATGGATGTCAAAAGTCCTTGGTAGATGACTGGAGATAACGTTGTACCAAATGCCCAAGCAGCGGTCACGCAAAGTCGAGATATTCCGACATGGTGGTGTTTGAGCTCTGAGCTACTGCTCCATGATATTCCAAATGTGCTCTATTAGGTTAAGATCCGGCTAGTTAGGTGGGCAGGACATTAATCGGAATTCATCCTTATGCTTCTCGAATCACTCCAAGACACAATTCGATATTGTGACATGGGCCGCTGTCTTAATGGAAGATTTCATTTCCAGTTGGGAAGACAGACGCCTTGTAAGGGGGCAACTGATCAGCAGTTAAGTTCAGATAGACCGCAGCTTTCATGATCTGTTCTACCTCAAATAAGAGTCACAAAGCTGCTCATCAAAAGGCACCCTAAAGTATAATACCACCACCAACATACTTTGTATGATCTGCTGTATAGGGTGGGAACAATTGTTCGTCTGGAAGACCGTTACCCTGACACGAGTATCAACGTGATGAATAAGAAATCGTGACTCATCCGACTAGAAAACAGTCTTCCATATATCCATGGTCCAGTTTCGACGTTCCCGCGCCTACTGTAGGTGCAGTTGATAGTGAAGCTTGGTCAACAGGGATACACAAGAGGTACGTCTACTGCGCAGTCCCATATCCACCAGTGTCCGCTGAACTTGCATGTTCCGAAATACTTGCATCTAGACCTGCCTTGTATTGGGCTGTTAGGTTAGCCACTGTCTGGCGCCGATTTTGCTGTGTCAAGCGAGACAGCCTAGGATGTCCTTTTCCTTTGATGACGAGTGAACGTCCAACACCTTGGCGTCTACTGCTGGTTTCATCGTCATTTATCCACTTTGCATAAATATTAGCAGTGGGACATCGTGAACAACCTACCAGTTGTGCAGTTTCGGAGATACTCGTTCCATGATTTTAGGCTATTGCAATCTGCCCTCCATCAAATTCGCTTAGATCAGTAGCTTTTACCATCACTCGCAAAGGTAAAACTTCTTTAGCAATAGTTTAATACCATTCGCATTTCATCAAGTTCCCACAATGTTATCCAGACGAATTCATTGAGAACGCTCTTTTGTCCTAGTGGTACAGGATTCCGTTCTTATGTCACGGCCTCAAATTCCGCCCATGAAGCCAAACTCGGCCTCTCGCACCGCACTTCTGATTCGACCCACAGAAGTTGCAACGAGGAAGCCTTCGCTTAAAACACCGAAAGCGTCAAATAACTGCGAGTCATAAATTACTATGATCCGCGGGCATCAAAGTCCCATAATAGCTCATATACACCATTTTACATTCATTTCCTCTTCCTTCGTTCTGTTAAGTCTGTCGAATAACCATAAGAATTTTAATATCCCAAATCAGAGTTTGTAGAGACATTAGGTTATTTCAAAGCAGAAGAGATGAAAAATGAGCAATGCCCTCTCCAGGATGGACCTCTCGAATACGTATCGAGCGTGCTGACCACTACACTACGAAGGCGGGAGAAATACCTTATACAATCCCCTTTTTAAAGGGCGACTGGGGTTTTTAGGGGACCCAATCGCAATGAGTGTGGAGAATCATCATTCACCACCTTTTAGTTCGGGCGCCATTGTAGAGACGTTAGGTTATTTCGAAGCAGAAGAGATGAAAAATGAGCAATACCCTCGCCGGGACACGAACCACGGGCCTCTCGAATACGCGTCGAACGTGCTGACCACTACACTACGAAAGCATGCTAAGAAGGTGGGAGAAATACCTTTATAAGTTTAACTGTTATCTTAATAATCTGAAATTTCATGTATTTTTGTTTCGTGTGATCAGCTATTTTAGATTTGATGATACTGCCTCAGAGCAGAGTTATTTTTCAAATATTTGCTTATTTCAGTAGACTTGTGGGAAAATTCGTGGATTTTTTTAAATATTTATTTTTTAATACATCAGATGATAACGATTTATTACGCATAAAACTATTTTTATGCAAGTATACGTAATGAAATATTTCTTACTTCCATATGCATATGCATACTCTTATTTCCGTGGTCCATATCCATGTCCATGTCCATGTCATCCTTCTTATGATCATGCTCCATTTTATGAGGTTGATCCATTACCATTTCGTGATGTTGGCTCCTCACAGAATCTTCATGAAGATGGCTGTGATCAGATGAAGATGTTGCTGCCAAAACAGCTGATAACGTAATCAAAATGAGGCTTCTTGTGATGAGTAATGTCATTCTTGCTGAAGTGTGTGATCTGCTCCTTGTCTGAAAAAAATAATAACAACTTTTACCATTAATAATGATGCTTAATGAATACAACTGCTTTAAAAAAATGGATATATTAAGAATCATGCCTGGTATTATGCTTTAGGATGCCTTTGTTAAGAATGCAATTCGCCTTTCTTATTTCCACGCAGTATTACTCCGTTACTAGACTGATTTCTTGCACAAATTTGCATATATTCAGAAATTATAGGTGTACCTGAAGAAAGTACCAGTATTTGAGATTAGAGATTTCTTCTTAAGCTACTAAAGGACAGTTTTGAAACTGTATTGACGTTCAGACTGCTGTGCTGCTTTTTAAATTCAAACTGGATTATAATGCGAGCACAACTCGACAAAAAGTGTTTCAAGTGTATAGCCAAGATAAAAAAAAGGAAGCTTAATTTCGGTTTGGAAAATCTTTTCTGAGATGAAAAAAATTCTCTACAAATAACAGAGGTCTGGATGATAAAATGTCATACATGATAATATTTTACTGAGGAAAACTGATTCCAGCTCTCTTCTAATGTATAAAAACATAGTTTCTCTATTCTCGGTAATAGAGTTATTTGCAGTCAACTCCATACCTTGGTAACTTATAAGAGAGAAAAAAGTAGATAACTGTTTTTATTTTATTAGCGAAGAATATACTACTATTTACTATGATTCACTTCTGCAACAGAACGGTACAGAGTCATTACTTTACCCAAAATATTTCTCTGCAACAAATAAATAGGTTCTCTGTAAAACGTTTCGATACGATCAGTTATCAACATTCTGCGACTATCAATCCAAATGCTTTCATAGAGATCCGAATGCAGAAACTTCATTCCAAGAAAGCTGAGCTAGTTCAGGGACAACGCTTAAATGCAAAAAGTACAAAAAGGTGAAAAATAATTATTTCATTTGTATAATGCAATTCACTTCAGAAGAAACAGACCAAATTACTCCAATAACAAGCAACACTCGTTATGAGTCAGGGGCTAAATCTGATCGAAGAACGCGGAAAATCATTCACAGCATTAAAATCATCGCGAAATAAGAAGTTTGCTGGAAGAATTTGTCTCCTCAAAATTATTCACCTAGCGTTTCACCAAAATATCACTATTTTTTCATTCATTAGATGCTTAATACATTAATCATCAGGTTCTTAAAAGAGAGTGGCACAAATGTTTAACTCTGAAATCAAACATTTTCTATCATTGTTGCGAATTTATGTAATCAAAATGTTGGTAAGGTATTGTGGATAGTAACAGCAGCTAGTTTGATGAACAAAATTTTGTTCCCTGTAGATTGTGATAGCAGTTATTTTAATGAATAAAACTGCTCATTGAAAGAAGAAATCCTGTATTATATTCTGTTCGAATGTAGAGAAGTCTTTTATTTTCCTGAAATCAACATCTATCCTTTTGGTCTAATAATTGCCTAAATTATCACATAATTGCCTAAATTAAAACAATTTATGTCTTAAATACGGTGAGAAGATTTCAACACATTTTTCCTATAAGAAGGAAAACAATGTTTTAATCAGCCACGGTTGAAACTTAAGTGTGCACAATTCATTCCAAATCTCTCTATTAAATATTATGTTAAAACTTACAATTCTTTACTCTCTATATAGTATATCATCTGCGAAATATCTCTGTGATCTAATTACATATTTGAATGCAAAGTTTGTTGCATGATTGATTAGTGTTGCCATTTTTCAAGTGCGTTGAAACTGAAGCACTTTTATTCTTGCCATGAGACTAGCCTTCTGACATCATGCTGAATAAATGTACATAACTTCGCACCAACTGCAAGTTAGTTGAGTTCCTTTAAAAGTTTATCCAAAATGCTCCAAAAACCTTAATTTGCTGTCTTGTAGCTATACTCTCCAACCACATAAAATCTAACCTAAGGTCTTATAACACGAAACGGATCTGAAGTCATTCATTATGAGTCTTAGTGAGAGAAAGGTTACATAGACAGGCAAGGCCCTAGTTGTTTCCTACATTTACTTTGTTTAAATGTTGCACTTTTAGTGCTTCGAGCGACGATGCAAAATTTACATATAATTTTGATATATATACAGATAATAATTTGCTATCAGGCAGCTATTAATCTTATTGTTACACTTGTAAAATTAATAACCAGATCTGGCGGCAGAATCGCTGCGATTGCAACGGGCGACGATATTTAGAGCTGGCAGAATTTACGTATCACAAAAACTGCACTAGGGGGCAAAGAGTCCATCGCCTGCCCAGCGAATAATAAGGGTTACAGTTCAAAACGTTTCTAAGTTTAAACATTTAACAGTTCTATAAGCTACTTAATAAGTTGGACTTTTAGAGAATTACCGAAGATGAAACTTTTGTCTTTTCAGTAATACGTTAAAATACCCGCAGAAAATTCCATATTAAGATTCGATAAATTTTCGGGATTTTCGAAACTTTACCTCCAGTAGATATCTAAAAACGTTTAGCAATTCTTTGAGTGATTCCGGAAACCCCAATTGTCCTCGAAATTGTTTTCCATTACTTATTTTGATTCATAATAAAGAGTCTCATAGTTACTTCTAGTAGTAGCAAAATAGGGTTCAGTGAATCGGGCATGTTCGCATCTACTCAACTGTTATTTCAGAAATATTTCAACTCTGCCGGTTAAACGCTCGAAATCACATCAATTTTTCAGTTCAAAAGAATTTTTCACTACATCCTCCATACATTTTCACTTTTGGAATGACAAATCAGCAATAGTAACAAATATCAGTGGCGTAGCACGGGCGGTAAAATTTCACAAAACTTAATAACATCTCGTAACCTGAACTAAAAATTTGAGCCTCTTTTTTTCAAATTTTTATCACGCTTACAATTCTTACCGATTAAAATGAGTCTGGAGGTTTTTATTATTTAATCTACGATAGACCTGGGAAATTCCCTTTAAGTGAATGTAGTCATCTCGCTCACTCTAGTGACTGGCGACACAGTCTGTACAGACCATTTGCCTTGCGGTAATTCTCCGTATATTATTTGTGCTCGGATTATTCATGACGAATATTCAACGAGAATTCTTTCATATAGAGAATAGAGTTCAATATTCTCTAATAACAACCGCAACATCAATCCAGTTCACATTGACTTGATCAGCCTGCCACAATTTTTTACTGCGATTAAGTGCGTGTTATAATTTGCGATTGTTTAATTATTAAACTTTGTTGAAAAAATCGTACGTAAACTATAAATCGATGGTCTACATCAGTGGTCTTCAAACTCTGTCGATTCATGGAACCCTTAGAGCAGCAAAGGTTTTTGGGAAACCTCAACCCACCCTTAGAAAAATATACCTGAAAGTAATATTTAAAAATATACACCTATAACATAAATCAAATTAATGTAATTTTCTCATTAATAGTCCAGGGGTCACCCATACTATGTTTAGTGACTTTTGACATTATGTGTAGTGACTGAAGTTTGCATTTATTTCAAAGGTAACTAAATGGACCTTTGTATTTATTAGTTAATAAGGACTAGACAACAAGTGTGAGTGATTTATAATTTTCTTTTCGAATTTGTATTTTGACACACAGAACACTGGGACTGACTCATGAAACCCTAGGGTTCCACGGAGTACAGTTCGATGATACTAGTCAACAAGTTCAACTCTTGGTGTACATACAATCATGTGAGTATTGCAGCTTTTATTTTTGTTTATCTGCTGTTTAGAAGCATTTGCTTTATACCATAGGCCAATTTTATAAGCAATAAGCAAAATCTTTGTAACTATACTAATTAGAACAGGATATAGTGGTTATTCAATGCATAGTATATCTGAATAGTGAATATTATAATCAGACATATATTCATAATTACACATCCATTCTTTTATAAAAATAACAAGTCAGTTATGTAATTACCTAATTTAAACCCATAAATTCGTTAATAATTGCGTAAATTACATATCCATAATTTTGGAAACCCTAGTTTGTAGTGTAAATACAATCACTGATGGACAATCAAGATTAACTATTCGTTTGTTTGCGACTATTTGTTTGTTTGCAACCCTAGCCTTAACAATAAGGCTAGGGGGTCGGCGAATATAAGGGGGCAGCTAATTTGGCCTACATCCTAGGCGGCTGAAATCCACACTATGCTACTGTGACAAACCACTGACAGATAAAAGTTTAAATAACCTTATTACTTATACGGAGGCTGTTCGCTTACGTTTTAGACGATTTTTGCTTTGCTATTAAAAAAAGTCGTCAGCTTGAAAAAAAAAATGTTTTTAACTGCAACTATATTTTTGAAAGTATAAATTATCGCCTGCTACTTGACAGTTTTGTTTTCTTGCAAAATGGTTCTTTTAAAGCAGAAATGGATGGAAGGTTAAGCTTGTACTTTTTCCGGAGAAAATTATTCATATCTAATTATTAAAAAATCTGATTGGATTGAATTAAATCTACTTGGCCGACAGCGCATAAACCACAACAGAATAAATGCATTCTTTAAAATTCAATGTATTTGTTTACCATAGCGACACTCTGGTGCTAGGTTCACATAACTGTATTATATTTCGTTCATATTATAACTCAGAATGCACAAAATTTATATCATTTAAAGAATTATATAATCGTTGCCACATGTTCTATTCAAATGCTATAATAAAGTTACAACGATGTATAAGAGAAATTAAGCAAACAAAAAAAAAAAAAAAAAAAAGTTTTTCACAGACGATTGAGTATTTCTCATTCAATTAATTCAGTTCTCACTTCGCGATAAGGCAAAAATACATAAAAACTCAAAATATATGTATTAAAAATTACGAAGTAAATCTTAAACACTTATTTCCTCGAAAAAATTCCAGAAAGGATTAAGCATGATTTAATTCGTAATAATAAATGAAGACGTTATCTTTGTTGTTGCGGAACTACGTTTCTCTAGATTGGCAACAAATCCCTTACTCTGCTGTTTCAAATGTAAACAAGCAATGGCCGCCATCAAAAAATTATTAGGCTTAGCGGCGCT